TTCTATCAGATGAAACGAAAAATAATTAAACAAAAACTTCGTATAAAACGCGTCGGCGTGGTTAAATGTTCAATGTATAATCTGTATAATCTGTATATGTACGTACAGATAAGATACGTTTAATTTAGTATTTTATAATTGTAATTACTAGGGCCCGGATTTAAATGCACTTAAAATTATACAAATATGCTCTAAAAAATAGCCAAAAATGTCCTTAAAAAATGCATTTTATCACATAAATGACCTTATAAATGACATAATTTTTTTTATTTTGGGTATAATTTAACACTCTATTTAATACATTAAAATCACATTCACACGTAATCCGAGCAACGTCTGCAGGATAATATGAACAAGCTGATTATTTGTTATTTTACCGAATACTGGTGACGTTCCATAGTTAATAATAAAGCAAAGATAAAAACTGAATCAAAAAATAAAGATTGTCAATGTGTATGGAAAAACGCGATAAATCCTACTTAAATATCAAGAAAATAATTTGTCTTTTGATTTTATTTTAAATAGGCTAAATTTGTTTAGTAAATCGAACAAACATGCATTAAAAACCAACATAATTACCCAATAATACTAAAAATACTCTAAAAATGAAAAAACGTCGAAATATGCAAAAAAATACAAAATAAAATTTGTAGTTTTGAAACCCTCGTTACATGAAACGAATTGTGTTTTTAGAGAACATTGTGTATGATCAACCAAAAAAATATGCACTTTGCATTGAAATCTGAGCCCTAGTAATTACATTATAGTGGTACAGTACAAAAAGTGATTAATATGCTTGATACTGATGGTGCCATGCAATTGAAAAAATAAAAGAATAATATGTAATAAAAAGGTATGATAAAATTTTATTTTTATTCACACAAACGATGGTTTCTTATAATCAGCCATTTATCGTAAATAAACTCGAGGAACACTCTTAGTTAAAGCAATTTAAATTATAGTTAATTTCTTAGAGAAAAAAAGTAAAGTTCCAAAAGGTGTTTTAGGAACAGTGCCGCAATAACCGGGTGTGCAGAGTGTGCCGTGTACACGGACCCCCAAGGCTTACATACATTTGGGGGGCCCCCTAGTCGCAGCCTAAAATAAACTACACTTTACAAACACACAATTATTTAATAATATTATATTATTATTTTATAATAAAAAGAAACTTTTTTTAAAATTCAGACTAGGATATTATAGTATTTTAGAGTAATATAATATTTATTTAACAATGAGTCTATTGAATATTTGAGTAAGCATACAACATAACTACATAAACATGTAATTAGTATAATATACAACAGTTGTAGGTATTTAATTTGATATATATATATAATACAATAACTAATGTGAAACGTGTTTTAAAACCTAAAAATATTGATTCTTTTAAATAAGACGTACAACAAAAATAAATCCTAGGAAGGGCCTTATATAATTACCGCACACGGGCCTCCTATTTTGTAGTTGTGGCACTGTATAGGAACCTAATTTACAATAAAATTGGAACAAGTTATCTAGAAAAACGAGAGGTTTAAGACAGTACCAAACATTTCAAAAATCATATCAGGAGAAGAAACAACAACAGATGGTTTTCCAGATCTTAAAATGAATGACTTCATAAATTTCAAGTATGTGCCAATTTCTTCTTCTGATATAGAACAGAGCTATTCTCTTTACAAAAATACATTGGCTGATAATCACCATTCATTTGAATTAAATACAATATACCTATCTACTGTTAATACAATAGCATATATTTTAGTTATTTTAAATGCATATTTTGAGAGTTTTTAATACATGAACTTTCGGGTTCTAATAATTACATATTTATAACCTGAACATGATTATTAACATTTAGTGAGTATTACCAAAATAAAAATTAAAAAAAAAGTTTTGTCGATGAAAACTTGTAGGTAAAAAATACATTAAAAAAATTCAACTATTTTGTTGGATTTCGTAATTGATTTAGGTATTAAAGTAACCACAACAATAAGGAGAAAATGTGGTAAGTTGACGAACTTAAGGATTGATTAATATTTACATTATTAAATAGTAGTCGGAAAATTTTGAAATATTGTATAAATATTGTCTTAAATATGAAGAATAACCTGTAATAAATTCAAGCTTTAATATTAAAAGGTTTATCACTTATAAATTTTACAAAAAAAATGCTGAATTCGTCATATTATCCCGTACTTAGGGTCAGTTGACTTTCCCCTAGGGTAAGTTGACTGGTGTATTTTATTACATAGATAAATCAATGAAATATAGAATAAATATTTTGTATATTTAATCTATAATAATATTAAATATTTTATAATAATTACTCAAGGTAAATTATTGAATATTATTTTTAAGTAATTTCTTTATTTATTTAATTTTATTAAAATGTTTTATACAAATTATATACACAATAAAAGTTCAATTTTACAAAATAATACAAATTATTATTTGATTAAATAAAAATGATCAAACAAATGATCAAATAAATTTAAATAATACAATAACCTTTATTCAAAATTCAAAAATAACAACTTAATTATTTAAACAGTTTAGAATTTTTAGAAAAAAAAGTAAGATCTCAAACAAAACAACAAGAAATATCAATTCTTAGAAATTTTTATCAGTCATAACTCATATTTAAGCAATAACAAATAGATTATGAACATAATTAATTCACATTTTAGTACCTATATACTAAAAACAAAATAAAATGTATTTAGGTAAACATTATATTTAAAACTTAAAAATCCTATAAAAATACCAATTCTTAGGAACTTCTATCAGTCATAATTGAGTAGGTACCTATTAACAATTACAAAATTATCATAATTAAAATACAGTTTAGTATATGATATAAAAAAAATAAAATTGATTTCAATATTATGGTATTTAAAACTTAACAATATAACAATTTAAAGTATAAATTCATAATAGTAACTTTCTTCAGTTAAATTTAACAATTAAATAACCTAGGGATAACCATTTCAGTACCTACTTATATGGATAAAAATTTAAGTTAGGTATCTCATAATATTTAAACAATAAGTAGCTTAAACAAAATATACAATAACAAACAATAAAAATGATAAATTGGAACCTTTAAATTCATCTATTGCCTTGTTTGTGTCACGCGATCATGAATTTTCTGTTTTTCTTTTGTAGTTTCTCACCATTGTAATCCTAATAAATTAGTTGTTCTAAAAATCGTATACTTTTATTTAATGTACAGATGTAAGTTGACGACATCGTCAACTTACCAATGTCATCTTGCCCCACAATTTTTTTTTAAACGTTTTAATTATTCATCATAACATGCAGTTTATCATAGTTATCATAAATATATTCAAAATATAGGTAATAACATGTAGTTTCTAAAGTGTAAAATCGATTTAGTAATTATACTTACGGTATTCGAGAAATAGTTACTTCAAATGAACCAAAAATGTTATCAAAACGTAATTTTGGGAAGAAACATTGATAAAATATTTAATTTTTCTCAAAATAACCTCGGTATCCAGAAGTAAGTTGTTCGTAACATCATGTATGTAATCGGTTACTAATATTTAGGCTTAGACTTCTAGCATTTGCATACTTTTTTTAATTATTGTTAAATATAGCAGAGTGCGAAATAAATTCGTTTCTCATTGCTATGATATCAGATTTAAAATTTGAATGTGCATATTTTTGCATACCTATTTGAGAGATTTTGCAGGAGAGTGCATATTTTAAATTTTTTATGCTTATTTTGCATATTTTGACAAATTTTTCAAATTCGAAATCAAAAAGTATAGATACATATAACTATTATATACATATTTCAACCGATCGAAAAAATGTACTAAGAGGACTTAATACTTTCAATAATATGCTATCTGCAAATTACCTCTCATATCTCGTTATAATTTTTGTGTAAGTATGAATAATACTATAAACCCGTATTGACCCGCTGGATATCGTTCGGATGTCAATAAAGATAATAGTTGATATGGAATAATAGATTATTTGTTTAGTGTTCAATTCAGTCGATTATTATCCGTCATTATTTTTGCGTCTCGCAACCATGCAACGTCCAATCATACGTAAAACGGTCGTAAGCGTATATTTTATAACATTGTATAATGCCGAAAGTACAACAGTCTACGAGTAGCCGACTACAAAGTTTTGTTTCGGAATTTAAAGATATATTTAAATCCGATGAACACGTTTTATATTGTGTACTATGTGGTATTTTTTTTTTTTTTAATTCATATAAATGCATACTATAATGCATATTTTAATGATTTTAGAAGCATATTTGTGTATTTTTTAGAGCTATAAGTCCCTAAGCATACTAATATCGATTGATATCATAATTTGTTAATTAAAACGAATCCGTCAACTTACCACACTCTCCCCTAACGCAATAATATACATTTGTTTTAAATAGGAAGACCTTTATTATCTTTTATACCTTAACTATTAAATATTGTTTTCTATAATATGTTATTCGTTAAGCTTTAACGAAATGTATTATTATTCATTTTTTTTTCTAATTCACTTTTAATCTAATTTACATTTTTCTATATTAAGTCAACGAGTTAAAAAAAATTAATTTACTTTTCCGGCCTTGTTTTCTATCTACAAACTATTTAATTATATATTTATTTATCGGTTTTAAGAGTTTACTAATTTTTGTTTTATATTATTAGGTTATTCTTTAATTTTTAATTAAAAATTACTATGAAAGAATACTTTTATTTTACCAATGTTATGACAATTATCAATAGATAAAAAAAGTTCCATGTGACTTTTTTTTGTATTCCTGTATTATTTTTTGCTAGTAATTAATAATTTCAGTCTAATAATTTTCAATGGTGTTAATTTCATATATAATATATAAATATAAAGTGTTACAAAATGAAACCAGAATATACATATCTGACTATAGTTTAGAATAAGTTAAACTCATAAAATATGTGATAAATATATGCTTATATATTCTAATTAATACTTACTAAAACTAATATAGGAAGGTGAACAAAATTAACACTAGTACAGCTGTCCTAGGGAAGTAGATAAATCAATTATTAATGTATTACATTAAAAATTATAGTATTTTAAACTGATATAAGTAAACAACATATGTTTGATATTTAAAATTAATACACAGATGAAATAAAGTTTAGTGTGGAAGAGCACAAAGATTAAGCTAAAAATTAATATTAAGTATGTGGTAAGAATACATAGAACAAAAATTAAATTTATTGATTTTACTAATTAATATAGGTAGTTAAAATAAAACTGAATGTTATGTCATAGCTTAGAATAACACAAAGGTAAGCTGTTGTCGTTAATCAATTATAATGTATTTCCATATTCATTAAATAGGAAATTATGTGCATAAAAATTAACAACTTTACTAACAATGAAAAAATTCAACAAGTGATGGAAATAATTTCAATAGGTATTTGAATTAGTTATAGCAGTGGTCCCTAACCTTTTCAAACAAATTAATTACACTTGAAAATTTAAGATCTTGGTCATCAACATCTAAAAGATTTTAGGAGACAATTACTTTAATGAGCAAAAAATAAAAGGGTCTAATAATTGTTTATTGTTTCTTCATAATAATAATAGCCATATGAAATAAATAAGAAAAATAATAAATATTAATAATCTTACAATTCTAATAGTATACAAGAAAATTAAAAAATAAAAGAATTAAGTGCATTAATATGATACCTGGCAATGATATTTTGCAAAACCAATGCCAACATTTTTATAATGAGAAACCAATATTCCTAGAAAAATCGACCAGTGTATTGTAATTAACTGGTTAGCAAACCCTGAACAAATGAAATAAATAAATAATTTATAAAAACTTTTTTTCATTGAACAATTTTCAGATTGAACAAAAATATTTAAAACAAAATACCTAAAACTGAAATTAATTTATTGATAATAAAGATGTAAATTGTTCTTCAGTAAAAAAGTTAAGTCAAGACCACTGATGCAAGAGGCTTATTCACCAATTATGTATTTGTGAGTGTTTTAAACAAAGATTACAAAACACAGCCTTATCTTTTGGCATCCAAATAATTAAATAAAACAAATAACAAAATTATTTGTTAATTCATAAACAATTCTTTAAAATAACTATGGATCAATGTAGGCATGGAAACCAAGAACCAGAACCAATACCGAAATTAATTGGTAAACCTTAAAAATAAAGAACAATAACCTTTATGGAACCTTAATTTCAAAAAAATGAAAAACTGTATCCTAAATTGTAACCTTAATTATAAATCAGTTAATGTTGGTTGGTAGTAATATCTTATTAATCGGCATGGGAAAATAAAAATCAATTTATATAATGTTCTTATTCACCTGTGTTTTAAATTATAATTTATCAAGCATACCTATATATAAATAAAGTTTAAATACAGAAATTTATTAATTAATGCATAAGCTAGAATATTATTACATGTGTAATACACAACCAGTTCAAAATTAAAAACTCATCATCAGGTATTCTCAAAGTTAATAAAATTGTAACACTATAAATGTAAATAAATATATTATTTTTTTTTTTGACATTAGCCGACTAAGTTTCATTACAATTATTAAAATATACAAACAGAAAAAAAAAATAAAAATTTTTACAGATTTATGTTTATAATATAGATACAAACTATACAATAAACTTTTAAATTTATTTTATTTATAAAAAATATATAAATCTTAGTTGAAAACAAGTGTCAATAAAACATATAAAAAATAGATTACATATGTATTTTATTATTATTTTTTTTTTTTTTAAGTTTATTAATATTTAACAATTAGTAAATTGTCTATTAAATATAACAAAATATAATAAATATACTTTTAATTTAAATTTGTATGATATGTAAATGTTTTAGATTTTAAGTATAGTAAATGAAGATTTTTGTTGTTTAAGTTCCTTTTTTCTTGTCAAATACTTTCAGTTGGTGAAAATGTTACAATATACTAATCAACAACCAGTGGTATTCTCAAACAATGTAAAACAAACACATTTACACTTTACACAGAATATAAAAACTAATATAAATTTAACTTTAATAGATACATTATATTTTTAAGTTTTAAAGTAGAGTATTAATTAGTAATTATATTCAATCATTCGTAGCTTAGTAAACTCTCTAGCTAGCCTACTCTCTCTTTAGTCTTAAAGGATAAAATAATGCATGAAAATTAGATTTGATTAATTTAAATAATAATCTAGTGTAGATCTTCTATAGTAACTAATGACAAATATGATAACATGCTTAAATAACAATAAAATATATTTCTTTTTATGTTTTTTACCATATAATAATATTGCGTTTAAATATTTAAGATAAGGTAACAGAAATTAAAAGTATATTATAAAACATGTTTATGATGGGCCTATGATAAACTAAAAACAACCAACAACTGAAATTTTGATATTTTTTTGATTCTATGTAATTCTATTGTCTTAAACAGTTTTCACTATATTAAGTTTTACAAATATATAACAATGTTTTTTTTTTTTGTAGTTGCAATATATGTATTATTTTGTAATTACATGTAATATGTAAAATAGTAGTTGATTTTTATCAATAAAAGCCAATTGAGGTCAAGATTTAGTTTAATAAAAACTAAAAAAAAAAAAAAAAAACTCTTTTATCATTTACATTAAAGTTAAGCAGTTAGTACAATCAATATTTGAAAGCACAATTAATTTCAATCATTTATTCTATAAAATAAATTATTTAATTTAAGTATACATCATTGTTTGTTACAATAAACTAAAATTGGCTTTTTACATTATTATTAAATTTATTTTTATTTATAATTATTTTTTTTTTAAATTTTTATCTAATAAATCTAAGTTTAAATCAACTTTTTTATCTGATTTCACTTCGTTTTTGTATTCTTCTACAATTCTCTTTATGTTTTGTTTAATACCTAATTTAATAACATGTTTTTTTAATAAAAATATCTGAGTTTTAGTTTTGATTTTGAGTGGAGGAAATGTATTATAATTAAACCAAACATGAGAAAATCCAGGTACTGTAGATATTACACTATGAGTATGTCGATAAGGTAACATTTCTTCATTATCTCGACTACTCGATCCAACAATTAAATGTGTATAAGACATAAGTTCTTCACATCCTGGATTCAAATTTTCTTTTTTGCTGTATCTATAGGAGAAATAACAATATTAGTAATAAATCATTTTTAATTTTTTATTAATATTTAGAAAATATTAAAAAATCAAACCTAAAATACTTCATAAATGATGCTATACATTTATAATTTATACTGCTTTATAAATACTATTGAAAATGTAAATTATTAATTTAATATTTACTTTTAAGTATTTAAATTACTTACGTCCAAGAATCACTCAGTTGTGTAAAACGTGTAACTCCAGTTTGTGCTGGAAGATTGCCAATGTGAATTGAGTAGTTAGCATTCATATTATTGCTTTCAAATGTATGTAATAATGTCATTGCATGGCCTCCAGGGTAATTTTTAACAGCTGCACTTGTTAGAAATATTGTAAAAATTATGTTTCCAAAAATATGACCAGCACAGAATGCCAGAGCAATTAAATTCTGCAATCCTTTTGGATTAAATCTAGTTTGCCATCTATAAACCAGAAAATAATTTTGTTTAATAATTTAATTATTTATTCAGTAATTTTTCAACATACACTCTATTACAATATGCAGCAGCAGATACATTCAACACTGGAAATATGTAAATAATAAAACGCAATTCCTTATGTGGCAATATAGAATATATAACTACAAACATAAACGCTGGAATTAGAAGCCTTGTTACTCGAATGTCATATATCATACCAAAAGGTATTAAGAATATAGAAAATGCAACTCCACGTGGTATTGCTGAATAAAAGTACCATAAAAATGGTGAAGTCTAAATAAATTAAATAAGGAAAATATTATTATTTTAATTAAAAATGAATAAATAACAGAAGTCATAAATATTAATGCAAATATTATAATAATTGTTTATATTTAATGAGAATAAATTAAAATTAAATAAAATTGGATAGCACAAAAATACATTGAAAGTGAAATATATTGTCATTATTTTAAAAATGGATTGTTTATTTATTTTTGTAAAGGATACGCCCCATTGATTACTTTTATTGAGAATTGTATTGAACCATAAAACTTCTCCTTCTGGCCATACAAGACGACCCCAAAATATTGAATCCACAATGATACTTAATGTTAAAACAACTAATGCAGCTAAACAACCATGTTTCAATCCTCTAAATCAAAAAAAAATATATATATATATATATACATTTCAATCATCTTAATAACAATTCAATTCAATAATTTCACAAAATATTATTTTAATCTAAGTACCTGAAAAATTTTAATCGCTTGTAAAATAATTCTATTAGTATAATAATACCAAGATAAATAACCAATTCTGAACGGAAAATTAAAATTGCAGCTGCTGAACACCATATTAATGTAACATGTTTTCCTCTTATCCATGAACTTAAAGCAACCATAACTATATCCCTAACAAAAAATCAATATAAGGTACAATTTCTTATTAATATATAAAACTACAATAATGACCATCAATTCACTATTAAGGAGTTAAGTATTAATTAGATTGCCTATAGCACTTTTTTATAAATAATATTTTTATGCATGAAAATTCAGTGGATAGTTTTCAAAATTTAAAATGTTTAGTTCATATTAAGTAAAAATTTGTTTAATAATTACATGTTTATTTTATTCAATCTATATATTATTTTGCATGAAACTAATTTAAAATATTAATTTTTTTTTTAAATGTACCAATAAAATAGTTTTTCTTGATAAAAGTACTTTAAATATAATAAATACTGACCTAAAGGAAAAGCCATAATATTGGGAAGTGGACGACTTGAATAAAACAATAAATGATATTGCGATGATGTAATGAGTATAAACCAATTTCCAACACCTTTTCCAAACACTTTGACAATACTTTTATGAAAGTAATTGATGCTTGTGATCACTATAGTGCTTAATACTGCACGGACTGCAAATTAAAAGGTGAATACATTTTAAAATGAAGGTATATAATAATTAAATACATTGTATAATAATTAACTCACCTAATAATTGATTCACAAATTTGGTAAATAATTGAAAATAATTTTGAGCAAAAAAGAACGGATATGATAATGCTGATATAAGTAGGGGACCCAAAAATGTCCTCGGTACAACGCCTGGAAATTCTAAATGATCATACTAAAAAAAAAAAAAAAGAATAATAATGATTTTTAACAATATAAAAATACTATGGAAAAATGAAATAACTCTAATGTTTAAAGTACGATAAACCCCCAAGAAACTCCAAGCTTTCAAAAAGAAAATTGTGTTAATGAATGACAGGTAGATCGATGGAGAATATTTCGACATCGGGAACTGGTTTTGAGAATTATAATCATGTTCGATTATATTTCATTTATTTTTTAAGTACGACTCAAGTAACAACACACCTGTGATAAATTACTCTTATGGTACAAAATGTCGTGCATTGCTTGTATGTTGAAACTCTCTTCGACTTTAGTAAACGGGCAGAGTAGCAAGTGTACCGCCGAGACAACATATAATATGTGATCCATCACGAATATCGCGTTAAAATCGGCGGTCGTACGTGCTCCGTATGTGTGATTCTAACTCCGAGCTACAAGACGAACCGATAATAGTCCGAATGGATGTTGGAATAGAACATGACGACCATGACGTCAACGGGACTAAATATTACGGGATAATAAAAACGTGGAAGAACAGAGAATTTTCGGACAAACATATCTTATGCCTTATGCTATCTCGTGATAATATTATGATCTCGACCCTTTGCGCGAACGTTATCGTCGTTATCACCAACGGAAAACAAGGGGATTACAAAATGTTTTGAAACACCGTCAACAACGGTTTGCCTCTCATTTTCAACCGTTGGCGTTCGGGGCGTTATTGTCTCTGTGTATTGGCGGGTATTTAATGGCATTTTTAGGGAACTATAATAATCCAATGTAAAGTGACCCTTTAGAGTCTATCCTATTCACAAGTATAACATATTATAAATAAAAATATGAATATGTTTATGATATAATAAAATAAATAAATATATTTAAATATAAAAAATATTTTATTTTAATGACAAATATTTGTTTTTATCAGCAAAGATATTTTAAATATAATTTCCATTGATATTTTTAGACATTTCTTTTTTATTATACAGCGAAGAAAGATCGCTAAACCCATCCTGAACTACTGATGTCCTTAGCTAATTTATTATTTATTTGGACTGAAACTTCTTTCGTAAGTAACCAAATTGATTGAGTATCGTTGACACTACCTATGGTAAATAGTTTTTGCAAATTAGGCAATATTGTTTGGCTTTCTGACAAAATTTTTAAAACGTCTTTTATGTTAATATTTACATTAGAATCAATATTTTGAACTACATTTTTAATGATTTTTTTATTAGCGCCATTTGTTGGTTAAATATTATTTTACAATTTTTAAAAATATGAATGAAAAACAGAAATAATAACATTATTATGTCTTTTGAAATATTTAGGAGGATTGAGCCCCTTAAGACCCCCCTCCTGATTTCCAATAATGTCACCAAACAATCAATAGCACTCGACCATCTTATTCTATACGTAAGTTCACAGTCCAAGACGTCGTCAAGTGTAAACGGACACCAAGTTTATCGTACACGTAAACACGGCCGTACTTCACACCTTGTGGTAATATTACATTATTTCGCACTCGCACGTGATTGCAGAGATCACGGACGATTCACAATCCTTTATCGGGGGGGAGGAACCATCGTCGGTGACGTAGTGACGTAATCCGACGGCGGGCGGATGAACGGAAAACGGTTTGTTAGACGTATCTGTGAAAGGGCCCATCATTTTTTCCTTTGATTATTCGCACATTATTTACGCCAGATTTTGCACCTATAGTTGCCGAAAACCTACCGGAAAATCGATGGTCCGGCGGCGGGGCCGCGCCCGTTATTGAGTCGAGTCGTTTCACGTTTCCGCGCGTGGCTATTGTTGTCGGCCGTGAGGAGCACGCCCAAAGATAATACCGTAATCAGTTGTTGTGGCGGTGGTGGCCGCTGTCGATGATAAGACGTGCGAATTCCCAACAAGCCGTTTTTGATTTGTGCGAAACGCGTACGGGCGTCGTTCGAGTGCTAGTTGACAGTAATTCGTAATTACGGATAACAGTGGCCGGGGGGGGAGAGCATTGGTAACGTTTGGCGACAATGATCGCGATCCAAGCGTCCGCGCTCCGCATTCCCTGACCGTAACTCCTGCTAGTGTTGGTTATGGAGCAAAATGAAAACCGTACTCAGCCTGTTGGAAGATGACAGATTCGTTTACTATGGCGTGGTGACGATCAACTTCGTGCTTTTGTTAAACTTCCTCGTCTGGGGGTAAGTAGTGATCGGGTAGTGTATTGCTTAGTTCTGTGAAAATGAGGCAATACCTGTAGTAGGTCTTTACACCCATATGCCGTTTCACTATTTAGATGTCAACAAGTTTAAAAAGACGATCTACAAATGCAAACTGTAAGGCGTGTGGGAACTTTTATTGCGGACATTGAGGCTTAATGAAATGTTTTAAAATCTAATATTTTATATTGATATATTTTATACCTTCAAATCGTTTACTGTTTTGGGTTGTCTTTATTATTTAAGGTAAAAAAATTCTTTGAAAAATTTTTCAATACACTACACTGAGAGTTTTATGATCTGTTTATTGATGTCTTAAATAACTGTAAATATATCTGTGTACACTGTACCTATATTCCCGTGTTCATGCCTGTACTTGTAATTCTTTGTAATTTTTTGTTTCGAGACCAGTAAATAAAATTTTTTCTTACCTTCCAAATTATAATCAATCATATTGCAATATGTACATATTATGAATACAATTTATCTGAAATACTGTTTAGACGTTGATCGCCAGCAAATATTTTTAAGAAATATTCATCTTTTTTAACCAATTTTGTATTATTATTCTAAGAAATTAAATGTTGAGATTTAGTACAGAAAAATCGAGTGGTTTCCGAAAAAAATTCTAATTAAAATAATTGATATAAAAATAAAAACTGGCAAGCACGAGTTTTATGACCATTTACATATTTATTTAGGCTTTCGTGTTGCAGGTGATATGGCTTCATTTTAGGTATATTAGGTGATCTACCGTATTATACAAGGTGTAGTTTGTGATCTACAATTATTATTACCTATCATTATATTATACTTAAGCTTTTTATATGCACATTATTATAGACCGCTGTGAGACAGTATTGCGATAACAATTAATAACATTTAAAATATAACTATGAGTCATTAGCAATGTTGCTGGATAGGTTAGATTCAAATTGATCGTTGTTCGGAGTTTGTCTATAATGTGTGGATCTGAATTTTATAAAATGTTTACTGTAATTGAAATTATAACTATATTTGGCTAATTATTTTTTATTTTTGTATTTGACAAATATTTGTATGAATGACGTACTCGTAGTAAAAAATATAATATGTTTTTATAATATTAAAACATAGATCTCTCGTCTTGAATTCACAGATCACCCACTCCCTGGTAGATCACCTGCTACACGAATGCCTTTTTTTAGTTTTTTATATAGTAATATTTGCTATATTTTTTCATAAAAGTTTAATGAATTAATACATATTTTAACACTTGTTGAATTTTTTTCTTTTAGATGTTTAAGTTTCATTATTATTATTATTGCCATTGGTTGTGGATATTACACATTCGACTATATTCTGAAGTAAGTTTATTTATTTATCAGTATATTTTATGTAAATAAAATGTGTTTTGTACAAAAGTTTAATTTAATATATATTTTCTGATTTTCTAAAATGAATCTAAAATGAGATTTTTGTTATTCATACCTAAACAGTTATATTATTTATGTTTCATTCCTTTTAGAGTATTGCTTATAATTAATATTTATTTTCAGAAATCGGAATTCAAGCAATTCTTTTTTCTCAAATAAAGTATTTGATAAAACTAATATAAGCAAATGCAAAAATTGCAAAAATTGTATTTCCTGCAACATTAATTTAAAATGTGTAAATCAAGAAACACCATGGAAAAATTTATTAATTCCCGAACAAATAGATTCTTCAATAGACAAAGTAAAATACAATTATTCTTCATACTATTGCTGTTTGTTTAAAATTATGATATTCGTTTATGTATAGCCTTATAATACTTACATTTTAATTTATAGTTACTGTCAAAAATTATTAAAGCATATGTAGAAAGTTGGTATGAGAATATTTCAAGTGATCCAAGTTTGATAAAAGAAATTAAACATGTTGTTCGATTTGCAACAAGTGTGTTGCTAAAAAGATTATTACAGGTTAGTATGTTTCTGAATAATATTTAAATAATAATTTATAATGAAATATTGATCCTTCAATGAAACTTTTATTAATATTATCATTACTAAAATAATATTTTGAAATTATAGATTTTATATATTATTTATTATGTACAATTTTATATAAATATAAAATTAATGATTTAGTTTTTAAATTAATTAATCTCTAGATGGACCATGAATTTTTAATATCATTTTTATCTCTTTAAATTATGATGAAAAATGAGATTAAAATATCATATTTTAAAAATAGATTTACCATCTCTGAATGAACTAAAAATGTCTGTAAAATCCTTTTAAATTGATAAATATTTAATTTAATATAATCTAACCATATGATTAGAAATTATTTTTGTTTATTTTTTTTAATTTAGAATTTAATAAGTTAATTTTTTTATTATTACTACTTAAATATATGTATTTTTAAAATTTGATAAATATTGAATAAATTAAATATTAGATTAAAAAAACAATTTTATCATAATTAGTTAATATTTTTATGTAATATTTAGTTAAATTTGGAAGAAATTATTGTATCTAAAGTATTACCAATATGCTTATCACATATTCGACACTGCCAGCAAATGGAAAAAGGTCAAAAAATTTCTCATCATTATGCTATCAGTAATCGTTGTGTGGAAATTAAATACCTTAAGAAAGTATCGTCAAGTTTACTGCCATTTATAACTCGGAAAAATGATCTTCAATGCAAGTATGAACTGATTCATATTAATTTTATATTTTATATTAGCTGATATAGATTACTTATTTATATTTTATACATAAAATGAAAATTCAGTTTTTACTCTTTACATGATTAAATAAAGAATATTATTAAATTAAATTATAATTTAAATTTATATTGACATATTCTTATTTATAGTTTAAAAAAATAATTAAAAAATAAAATAAAATTAATAATACTACACTATTACAAATATTTTCTTTTAATGAATTTTTGACTATACATTTTTCTTGTTTTGTTATAATTATTAATCATATTTATTTTATAGGATATTTTTTACGTTACTTCGGGAACTTATTTCACTTTGGATTTTATTACCAATATCTGATGTACTATGCAATCCAGTTAACCTTACAACTACTTGGTCAAAGTTATCCAAATCATCTAATATTCCACAGACTAATACATTAAAAGATGAACAAGTAGAATTCTTATCAAGGTTTATTAATGAAGATCAATATGATAGTGTACAACTTGAAATGCGTTGTATATTTAAAGATTCAACAATTTTATCAGCCTTTATGAACTTTTTAAAACGAAGAAAAGCTATGCATTTATTACAATTTTGTTTAGATGTAGATCAGTTTAACAAACGCATGTTAAAACCTGATATTTCGTCTCAAGAACTTGACATGCTTTATCGGGATGCTTGGGATATATTTTCTGTATATTTTAGCTCACATTCACCAGATTGTATAAGTTTTGATCCTGAGTTAGTGAGTCAACTAAGAAAAGTTTTATCAAAAGATGTTATTAAACTTCAAAATTCAAAACCTCTATATCAGGCTTATGAACAAGCATATTATACTTTAGAAAATATTTATTGGATAGAATTTCACAATTCTAATGAATATTTTTCATGGATATGTGGACCGCGCAATATTTCAGAAACAGATCCATCACAAGACTCTTTATCAAGCAATGATAAGAAAACTTCTACTTCTAAACTTGGCCGCAAGCTAAATAGGATTAAAGGTGCTTTGAAATCTAGTTCTATTTATGATGGTCAAGTTGATTCTTTATCTTCTGAATGTGACCCTGAATATGGTGAAGATCTCTCTATTAATAGTGAAATTATTAACAGTGAACGAGATTTAAGTACTTGGAAGGTAACTGATGTTACATCAGCTATGAAACTAGAATCTGGATCTAATGGTGGTCAATCTTTAGTATTTTTTATTACGATAGAGACTATTGAAAATGGTACAGTAAAACAATGGTGTGTAGAAAGAAGACTTGCTGATTTCTATACCTTAAAATCAAAACTTACAGAATTTCATGGAGTAATTTTAGAAGCTTGGTTACCTCCAAGAAGAATTTTATTACAAAAAACAGAAAACAGTGATATATATTTGCAATTTCTCAATCAATTGTTACAAAAACCTGAGCTTAAGGGTTCTGACTTATTGCACATGTTTTTAACATCATTGGAAAATTTTGAGGACTCTGAATCAGCTATTGGAAGATTATTAAGAAAGTCTATGCCAACATCTTTGAGAAAAGAACGTGGCCAAAATTTAGAATCGTTCATTACTATATTCATGTCTTCAGTAGAAACCAAATTAAAACAAAGGTATAACCAATTTTTAAACTATAGTACTTTTTGTATGATTAATATATTATTACATTTTATTTCTGTAGTATATTATTTATATTATAATAAAATAAATTATTTTATAGCATGTTTATATTTTTATTATAGATATGAATGGAAAGATTTTAGTGAAGAACCTCCTCAAAGAAAAATAAAAACAGCTGATAATCTAATTTTCAGAAATAATTTAAATATAACTAATGTTGAACACCAAATGCCACAAGAAGATGTATCAAATAAATTAAATATTCCCTGTGGGCCAATTGACTGTATAATTTTTTTTGGAGTACATGTATACAATTTATCCAATGCTGTTGTTAGATTGATTTTGGCAATTAAATCACTATGTGGAAATATTTTAGATTCTATATTACAGCGTTACATTTGTCTTTGTGTCGTTAGATCATTTACACCTTCTAAAATTTCCAATTTGATTGAATTATTAGAAAGTATGAAAAAATATTTTTGATTGTTATAAATAAAATCTAATTTAATTCTTGTGTTATTAGATTTACTTTTTCCTGATGAAAATGTATTACAAAAGACTGAAAATCATCAAGTTTCAGTTGATCATCTACCATTATGGAGTAACTCTATTCTTCTACCGCTGTATATGTGTTTATTCAAATGTACACAGAATCCAGTTATGAATAAACAATTATTCTACAGACTTTTAGATGTTTTAATCGAAGAAATGTTTCCAGAACTGCATACACAACTTAACGAACAATAATGATGATAATACTTCATTGCTGTGATAATATTGAGTGATACATTCCTTGTAATAATTAAATAAGGTATTTACTTTAAATATGTTTTAGAATATAAAGATTTTTTTCATGAATTTTTAATAGATTTTAAAGCTAATTTTACGAAGAAAAAAATGTTTTAGAAGATCAAAATGCCTTATGCTCTTACTTTTAAATTGTTATATTATTCAACTAGTATATATATATATATATATATATATATATATACGTATGTATATATGTATGTATGTATGTATATATAACCAGAAAAAAAAGTATCAGATTATAAAATCAAAAATTAAGCAAGTAAATAGAAGTCAAATACTTAACCACTATAAAATATTTTATTTTTATTTTTTTCAAAATTTGTTTTAGGTACTTAGATTTATTTTTTTATGTTTGTATAAAATATATACTATATACATACATACATACATAGCATAAACATTTTAATAAGCATTCTGCTTTAATTTTCATATTAATTAATAGTGAATTAAATTAAATGATCAATATTAATTCAGCAATCACAATACTAACAATTTAAAATATTTATATGTATTTGTATACATTATCAGTTAGCTTAAATAACTAGACTAGATACCTGCATTTTCACCACTTGAAGTACTACCTCTTGGTGTTCCTATGTGGCAAATGTATTGCTAATTAAACAAAAAAAAAAAACCCTGCAGATGACCGATAGTTAATTTTTAAAAACATAAAAATAAGAAATAATAGTTGTTAAAAAAAAAAGAAAAAAATGCTGCTTGTAAAAATTTTGAATATCCATAATAAAAACAATGCAATTTTTATATTGATAACAAAAATTATAATAAGTTTCTTTCAAATAGATATATCGATTGATGAAAAATAATCTAATACATTTGATTATTTATTAAAAGTAATAATAAATTATTTAAAATTCTTTATTAAAATTTTTTGTGGTTTTAAACAATTCCATACTTCTAAACTCTAAATGATAACATTTTTTTCAATGAAAACCTCATTAAATATACTATACCCTAAACATATATAGTACAAACATTGGAAACACATTATGAACGTGTAAAAAAAAAAAATCAAAAAAATATAAGATATTAAATTGAATGCAAAAATGTAACTATAAACATATATTTGTAGTAGTCATCCATTCAATATAAAAAAATTCTCTTCTACTTTCTAATAATTATTTATTAAAATATTACTTATGTTATATAATTGAAACATTTTTATTGTGATACATTGCATTAACGCTCCTTGATTATTGCTAATAACATGATTTTAGTTGATGAAACTTGTTTTTTGGTACATTCTTGTGCCAATCATTGAGTTTCCTTTTCTTCTACTTGTTTATTTGATAAAATACTACTTTAGTCTCACTTGACATTCATGATGTGATGCTATATATGAATGGTTATAATTATTGACTTATCCATCTACAGCCAATTTAATAGTTGACTGTAGTGTGCTTTTTGTACGGATCCTCTTTTTCATTTGTTATTATTAACATATACGGTGTATCAACACCACATCAATATAGAATTAGAATAAAATAATAATATATTTTAAAACATATTTTTGGTACTCATTCGGTCGGTATAAAAGAAATCCTCGTCCACTTTCTAATCACTATTTATCAAAATATTGCAAGTGTAATATAAATGCAAAGTTGTTAATTGTAGTTCCTTATATTTACACTATTTGATGATTGGTTACTACATAGTTTTACTATTTGAAAGTATTTCCCGCATTTACAAGTGCCAACCATTTAATTTAATTTTCTCTTCCTACATGTTTATTTGATAAACTACTACTTCAGTGTCACTTGACATTAAGATATGATACTATATATGAACAATTTAAACAATTAGAATTTGTCAACTTATCCATTTACAGACAATCAAGTAGTTGGTTTAAGATTTATTTTTTATGCTAATCATGTATTATATTTTTTATCTTAAACATATATACAAACCTATCCATTTTTTAGTTTATATTTTGTATTTCATTGTAATAATCTTAGTATATTATTTTTTTAGTTAGAAAAAAAAAACTAATATGTCATCTTAATTTGTATTAAAATGAGTTCAGTTTTATAAATTTATATCAAAATAATATTTTTATGAACATCGGCATTTTAACATTTAACTTTTATTTGGGATATATATCTATTTTATTTAAAAACACTGATTTGAATATTTATGAAATAGTCCTAGCAACTTAATTATAAATTTATAAGTATATTCTGTATTTTATTGTTAGTACACCATAAACATATTTTATAAGATATAAAACAGTGAATAAACTATGATGGTTGTTTATTTTGGTTGATTTGGACATTTGAATAGATAATGTTGTTTATAGTTTTTTGATAGATAATACATTTATTTTTTTTTATAAATTAAAAAATTATAAGCTTAAATATTTCCATTGGTTTTTAATTATTTATATTATACAGCATGATAAACATATTTAGGTAATGTAGGTTGATAGGTATAATTAAAAAACTATTCTTCTAAAAAAATTATAAATTTACTCTATATTCTAAGTTAAATTTTTACTTTTCTCTAAAAATTGTTTTTGTATAAATGTATTTTGATTTGTCTAAAGTACAGAAATATAATATATGCTTGTTAAATTTATTTAAAAATATTAAATTACCTAATATATTATGCTACAAAAAATGTCAAATAAATTATACACTTTGAAATACGCGTATATATTTTGCTTATACAAAATTTGAATATGCTGATATGTTTATTCAATGCTTTGTTTAGTTTTTTTCATTTTTATTGAAAATTATACAATTATTAATATTTAAAAACAATGTGTAAAATGTGATAAAAATATTTAATCAATTAATTAGACTACTTAAATACTTGATGACCTTTATATCTTTTTTAAGCAATATTGGCTTTAAGAAAAAATAAAAAATCGTCATTGTTTATAAACTTTATTCATTTTTTACTACATTCTGAATCCAAAACTAATGTTGTGTGCACAGTCGATTATATTTAATTATATACTAGGCTTTTAAATTTTATCCAAATATAATTTAGCAAATAAATGTTATTTGTTTATTTAATCAACACTTAATGAAATATAATAACTATATATATCATATAACTAGATCTCTATAGACATATTTTAAGAATTACAAATAAACAATTTTACTATTAGACTATGAACATATTATTATATTTTTATATGACTCAATATCGCTTAGTGGATTAATATATTTTATATTTTTTAATTCAATATTAGATATATTTATAATATTACATTCACATAAGGTACACTATTATTATGTGGTTTAGTTTCTATAATATATATCTTAAAAAAATATTAGTTCAAATTATGTAATCTAGTACAAATATTTTATTTAGCTGCTAATATTATGTGAAATATTTAAATAAGAAAAAAACTAATATTGTATTTTGTTTTCATCATGATAGCTTATAATTTTTATACACTTAATTCATGCTCATCATAATCACTATAATATAAGCAATTTAAGTACATATATAAATGAGTTGATAATATTTTACTTTATTCAATATATCAATATTTATATAATCATAGTAATAATCAATGCATTTCTGTATTATTTATTGCTTTGATGTGCTATTAAAATCATAAATATTTTATATAAGATTAAATACCCCTATTTAAATAATGTGTTCATAGTGTTTTAGTACATGTATTAATTAAACATAATTATTTTATCCAAACCAAAAATTAATTAAATTAGGAGCAAAATATACTAATAATTTAGGATTTATAATTATTATTTTGTTATTTTTTTACTAATTCATTAGTACTTCATTACCTAAAAATAATGTAAAATATTTATATAATAATATTTTACTATATTCTTAACTTACTTTCATTTATTAATATTGACAAAAACAGAATTGTTCATTTTATTTGGAGTAAATATGAAAATGAAACGCACAATTATCTTATATATTAATAACATTTGTCAATTTCATATATTAATTGATGTCTGCAAATGTGTCAATTATTATATTTTATATTAATTATATGGGATGCCTATTATTTATACTTATATTTACTCTTAATTTTTTATTAAAATTTCAAAGTATTATGCATTAAAGTAATTGAAAATATTTTATTAATAATAACACAAATAATGTCAACATTTTAATGATTTGAAAAACATTATTAAAAATGTTTTCCTATTAAACTTCAATAAATATTAAAATAATTTATGTGGCTATTCCAGAAGAGCTTTTAACTTTGCGAAAATTGAATTGTTTATTTTTATTTATTTATTTATTTATTTTTAATTAAACTTTTACCTAAACATAGTATTTACTACACAATCGAAATATAATCCATCTGGGGGCCAATCATTGAATTAAATTAATTTTTTTTTTTGTATCTATCCCAAAGATAATGTTTTCATTATTTCTGTCAACTAATTTATTTTGAAAATACAGAATAATTACATTTTGGATTAAATTTTTTTTTTTAATTAATTTTTGAGAAGTCATTTGAAACAAATGTATTCAAAAAATAACCGATGATTTTAATTATTATTATTCAATTATTTTATTCTTCATAAATGATAGATAAGAAAGAAAATTAAAGTGGGAAAACGAATTAATTTTTTAATTTTTATTATTATAAAACAACATTTCATGAATTCTTAGATTATTGCTCAACATCAATAAAATATATAGGTTTCCAAAAACATTGTTTCACAAAAATGTTTACTTTTAGTAGATAAATGTTTTTTTTTTAATACATTTTTAAAACATTTTCAATAAGGTTTTGTTATTTGTTACTAAATTTTATTTAAAATTTTGTATATCAATTATATTTTGAAAAACAGTACATTTTATATATTTTACCATAAATTAAATTCTTAACTAAAAATTTCAAAATGAATTTGATTGAAGTTAAAACTAGGTTCACGAACTTAACAGATCAAGCACATAAATTTGTCTAACCTAATTCAAACATTATCATTCTCATTTGCTCACACAAACTATATGATTTTTTTTAATGAATTGTTCTATTTCAGTATCAATAACATTTAATACCAGAAACAAATTAAGTTTTTAATCTTGATATTATGTTTAAAACTATGATTGTAAATTTTTAACTCATTTGTTCTTTCATCTGTTTTTTAGTTGAACAGGTTGTAATAATCATCCATATTTAAGCTTAAGTATTTTATTTTATAATAATAACTGTTAACTCATTGTTGAAGTTGCCGATTGTTTTAATAACATAAGTTTATATATATGTATCATTACATTACACAATCATTATATTGTATTTTCTATTATATAATCTATAATTTAACTGTTGATATTATTTACTATTATTATTAATTATTGTATATATTATTACTTATTTAAGAATATAATTTTAAGTCTTATTTTAATGATATATAGAAAGTAGTGCGGAGAATGTTATATATAGGTTAGGTATATTGAATCATATACTATGTATATTTATTACTAACTGGTCTGAAATTTTCGATAATAATAATATAAAAACGAATATATAATATTATGTAAAACTGATAGTTACCATTTTGAAACAACATATATCCATTATACGTAGATTTAATATGTAAAATAAACCTATGTTAGGCACGTATGTGATACACAATTATATATTTATAACTTATATAGATAATATAGGTACATAATATTATATTAAATGTAATAAATTGTATGGAAATAAACAACATATTAATATATATATATAACATTTTATGAACCAAATATTCTGTCGTTAATAATAACGATTAAATTATTAAGCAATTATTTTTGATCCATATTGTGGTACTACAATGTGCTTTTTCAAAGGCGAAAAAATCTTTAAACGCCTGTGAGTTTAGAATTATATATTATTTATTACAACACATAATTTGATATGAGTTGATACTAGAAATGGTAATATTTTTTTTAAAATTAACTACTATACTACAAAAATGTTAAATGCCACCCTTGGTGTGGTGGGCCTATGTCGCCTACCCTTTGAGCCGCATCTGGGTACATTTTTGATAAATTTAAGCCCTTAAAAGACCGATGAGAGCTATATTGTACCAATATTTGTGTTGTACTAAACATCTGAGAAGCTATACATTAGTTTGGAAGAACAGTTTTGGTTTAAAATACGTGGTAAGTATAGTAATTTATAGCATTATCTATTGTTGATTTATTAGACTCCTCATTTTTCTTATTCTTAAATATTAAAACTACTACAATCGTTCGGGTGAATTATTTTTTATTTCATAATATTATAGTTTTCAAAGGTTTGAAACAATTCATAATCCTTCTCAATAAATTATAGGTCGTCGTCGTCGTGGCAGCGAGCGTAATCATTTTTGCCGCCAGTCTTGGACTGGAGCTTGATATGTTCGACGACTATGTCACGGCTGACGGCCTTGCACATGTCGTACACCGTAAGCGCGGCCACCGCGCAAGCCGTCATGCATTCCATTTCGACGCCCGTTCGATCCGTGCTGACGGCCGTGGCCGTTATGAGAACCGCACGACGGCCCACGTCTAACCGCGCGTCCACCGTGACCACGTCCAGCCGGATCTGGTGGCACAGTGGTATCAGCTGCCACGTCATTTTGGCCGCGCACACGCCTGCCAGCCGGGCCATGGACAGCACGTCACCCTTCTTGCACGCGTCCTCGGCGATTAGTCTGGTCGTCGTCTCGTCCAGACGGACCCGGGCCACGGCCGTGGCCGTCCGCCGCGTCGCCCGTTTACCCGATACGTCTACCATGCGCGCGTCGCCCGTCCGGCCATCTACGTGGGTCAAACGCGAGGCGCGGCCACCGTCGTCGCCCGAGGACTCATGCCAGCCGGTCATTACATCACTACTAATGTTTCCGCACCGTTTCTGTATCGCTCCTCGTTTCGCCTTGACCATCGCCCTCGGCCTAACCGCCCGTTTAACCATTGCTGAAACACGCAAAACGTCAATTATACCGTTATTTGTTTTCGCTTCGTTTCCCTTCGTGCCGTACTGCATGCCGTACCTGATGGCGCAAAAGTAGGCTGTATCGGGCAGAGGTAACAGGAAGGATGCGTCCTAGGAACGGGATTTAAAAAGAACCGTCTATACAATCCTTCCTAATCTAATCGCGTGATCGGACCTATGTTTACTACGTGAATCCTTGAAAGTGGTCGCCAAATTTCAGGTCTCCCTTCTAATCTAGGTATATTGGTGCCGGAATAATTATTTGTAAAATATTAGCATACTGTGTTCGGCAATGCTTAAAATGATCAATGATAGACAAAATATTTTTACGTTGAGAATAAGCCCGAATATTTTTCTTTACTATAAATCAAGTCATGTTTGTGACGCAAACTGACATCGCGTCTTGAACTCTAGTTGGTTGTCGAAAGGCCGTAACTTGACACTACCTAAATTAAGATATGAGTATATCACAATTCGAAAAAAAATATATATATTAAATCCATTTTTTCGTCAAAGCTTCAGAACCGCGAGACCATTGTTTCTGATGCGTATATTGTTAATTTTGTTAATCGTTTTGAATAATCTATTTATGTTGAAGTCACAAGACATTTTTAAGTTTCGTAATCCTTGCAAATTTAAAAAAAAATAATACTCTAAGCTATAACTTTTGATAATGAATATACACAATTTAATATAAATATTTGCAAACAAAATAAATATAAAATTCGTATATGAGGGTTCTTTACAATACATGTCTGTAAACCGTGCTGATCAGCGTTTGTTTTTCTTCCAACCTAATATTTTCCATTGTACCTATAATAAGTAATATTTTTCATGCGTCGTCGGACTTTACTTATCCGCCGATTAATATCATTGGACGATTTGGCATATGAGGAAGATTTTCCATTCCTAAAAACATGTGCGTGTTATTCATCATTGTAATTAAATATAGTTAAATATTTCCTAGGATAAGTAGTGGTTTGATCCATTTTCAACATAAATTTAATGAGCTTATGAGTGGGTATTTACGTAAACAATTTTTTTCCGTTTAAATTTCAATTAAATAATATTATGAAATAAACATTTTTTGATTAAAAATTACTTTTTTATTGGGTCCATTGAACTTTCAAATTTTGACATCGATATTATAAATTAAAGAACAACTGATACAAGTGTAAAAAAATATTTAAATTTCACAACAATTATACAACGGATCTCAATCATATTACATATTACATAATCATTTGATATACTGATTGATAATTTCTTCCTATCTGTTTACCTTCAAATTGTCTGAATAATACGAATGCCAAACCCTGATCATATTATGATTGTACTTAATATCAATTATATTATTTTAAACGGCTTAAACATTTAAAACTAGTTATAGTTAAAAGATGACTATTACTAAAATTATTATTATTACTGTTAGACTAATACTACTAAACGAAATATTTACTCTCCAGTTACAACCAAACGTGGGTCTAAAGGGGAAGGGGGCGAAGGGAACGCGGGTCCCCTTCAAAATTTCTAAAAATAGGTTTGTGTTATGTATAATATAATATATTGGGTTTTTGGTTATTTTTCGAAATTCATTATATCTACTAACTAGAGTAACCAGATGCTATAGTATTATTTTATAGTACCTTATAGTAGAGTAACTAACCTAACCTATTATAAAATTACGAAAAATAAAATATTATAAATTTATATTTGTGTAGTGACTAGTGTGTAAGTGTGTTACTACGCCCCCTTAGTAAAACATTTCTGGATCCGCCCCTGGTTACAAATACCTATGGCTAAGAATATCGGTATCGCCCAAAGATATGATGTTTAAATTATCGATGTAATAAACAATTATCATCGATCACAATCAATTTCGTAATTTTATTATAGAAAAAAATGGATAATACTTAATATATTTTTGGAAAAAAAAAAAAAAACCGAAAAAATATCCGAAAATGGCTGTATATGATGGTTATACAGGAGTACGATACAGTATCCACAGAATGGAAGCGATACACGCTATATGCAAAAGTCGGTCGTCGGTAAGCCGGAGTCTGGCTGAAATATAAGCTTATCACGTGCGTTGAAAGGCCAACTTTAGGCGACCCAAAGTCAGGGTGTTCAAACAATATATTTAATACACATAACTAATCTGATATATCGTTGAAATCCCTACCTATGGCCAGTGGCATGTCAAGCATATTTCAAACCCTAAGTAAAGTATTTAAATAATGATTCTTCTCCTCCCCCTTCCCTTACTAAATAACAGTGGTGGCTCGTGATGTTCAAAGTGGGTGGTGTGCAAAAAATAAATCACAAAAGTTTAATTACAAATAAATTAGATTCAAAATTCCATTATCATGATATTTATTGGATTTTTACATATTTTTAAAACATGTATTATGAATTATAATATTACATATTTGTCATAATTTATTGTATCTATATATTGTTACAATAAGCAACAGTGTCATAATTAATTATAGAAAGTAGTTACACAAAAAAATTAAATATTTTTATATATAAAGTCAATTCTTCTCTCCTTGGAATTGGCAAATTGTTCTATGACTTTATTATTGAAATCAGTTATATTCATTACAAAGTTTCTTTCGGTGGATAGCATTGCTAACGTCGATAATATGTCTTGATGCATTGTATTACGTAAAAATGTTTTGATTCTTTTTTATGTAGAAAAACACCTTTCTGATTCCGCTGTAGACATTGATATTGTAATAATAATTTTTAACAGCTTCATGCTTACACCTAATGTACCAATAAGGTTTTCAGATTGTATAAATGATAATAATGAAACAGCTCCACTCATGGATCTAAATTCAGTTCTGCTATAGATTAATTGTAACTCGGTTTTTAGTTTTTTAGTGTCAAAATATTGATATAAATTTATAGTTTCATTAAAATAATCTTCCGGAAAATGCTTATGATATTTTTCAAAATTATCCGCCAAAAATAAATTTGAAGCAACCAGATGACCAATAAAATCAAATCTTTGTTTTATTTGAGATATAATATTATCATACATTTCAATTGCTTCTCGTTTTATTTCGCCTTCTCTGTATTTTCTTTTATCACCACTTTGTTCAAAATTATCTTCACATAACGTTTCCATTTGGTTTCTTATTTTGGAAATCTCTTTAGTAAAATTTTCAATATTATTTTTCACAGTTGTTGAATCAGTTTCTCTTTTTTATAATTGACTATACAATATATCAACACGAGGCATATTATGAAAAATTGTACGCCAAGAAATAAATGTATTATCAAGTAATGTTTTTTTAGTCTCGATGCCTGTTCAATAGTAGATATATGTTTAATGGATTCATCACTTATTATTTTTTCCATGCAATTAATTAATTCTTCCCTATACTCGAATACAGTATTTACTGTTCTAGAATGAAAATTTCATATTTTTTCATTTATATATTTCATTTGTATTTTTCTGTGTTAATAAAAATAATTTTGGCACGGCTAAAATTTTTATTTTTAATTATGTCATAGATTGGCACGTTGAAAAAAATCCTATTTTCCATCCCTGATCTATGGTAATCTATGTGGTGTGCACACACCTGAACACCTAGGCACGAGCCACCACTGCTAAATAATACATTTGTATATAATTATTCGATTGTACTACCTATAGAATCTTCTTTAATTCCTTTCAAATACCTAATTTATCTATTATATGTGCATATTCAATTATTTTTCAATGCATGAAATTAGCCAATTAATTTAATTATTTAAATAAAATATGTTTATAAATACATGAGCCAAGGGACACTCAGCTCCTTGATAGATTTCTAGGGCTAAGCCATTTCATTAGGCAAACGTCGTTCACCACGCCACTGCCTATGGCACCTACAGACTGTTTTGTATAATATACCTACGAGCATTTATAAAATACTCATATCCTATACATTATTGACGATTGCAATATTTTAATTACCTGCGTGTTTCCGTTTCTTGTTTTGCACCGCATTCGATATGATACTCAATAGTTCTTCGTTAGACGCTCCTTGTCTGAGCGGATCCCTAAACCCATTCAAACAAGTTCATATTATTATAAGTAACGTTTGAATTATATTTGAAAATATAATTTAATAAATCAATTCCAATAAATTTGTAAAAACTATTTATCGATTTTTCTGATAGAATAATTCTGCGCTGTTTTTCATTTTACCTTGACAGAAGGTAAAACTTAACAAAAAGTTGAAAAACTATTAAAAAAAGAAAAATATTGCCGTATAATAATGTTCTATCAATTCAGGCTAAATAAAGATTTTTATTACGTTAAAAATGTACCTCAAATGTATTTCTTTATTTTCAAACAAGCAGGTCTTTAGATTTCCATCAGCCATTAATCTGAGCCTGTTACAGCCATCGCAGTAGTCGTCCGTCATCGACGATATAAAACCAACGCGACCCATAAATCCTGGCACTCGGTACATCTGTACAGACAGAACATACACGTTTTAGACGTAAACCATGGTTTTGTAATCTTTCGGCTAACTATTGGCCTTCGTAAACTCAATGGTATGAGAATTATTATATTATAAATCACCCTTTCTATACCTTTGAAGTTGAATTTGGATTGTTATCGCATGGTCCGAAGTTTGAATACGATTTCATAATCTCTTGGACAGCTTCTTTGTAAGGTACCATTCGGTTTTCTTTCCAGTCGTTCATCGAGAACGGCATGAACTCGATAAACCTATAATCGATTGCCCTGTCTCTAGTCATTTCGATAAAATCACATAGTTCATCGAAATTTACTCCTCTCATTAGTACGCAGTTCACCTGTATAAGGGATATCGTATTATATACGCTCAATTTACGAACAATTATTGCAGTAATGCCGTCACAACACATTTACGTTGGTAATATAATTACAACAGCTTTCATAGAGATTAAATGTATTTTTAATAATAATAATTAGTCTTTAAAATAATGTAGAAAAAGTAGATAAGCACTTATAAAAAGAAAAAGAAAATAAACTGATACCAAGGATTTTATTGAATTCCGTAGAAAAAATATTTTGAGCCATATTTATTCCTAAAAACAATAATAATGATAGATTTTTAATTAGCGGTTGAATTTATCGTAATACATTTTTATTCGTATAAAAAAAAAAATTACAATTTGACAATGTTATTTTTTGATTGAAACCCCAAAAACAAAGATGAATATCACATTCATCTTTGACACTATGATTTAAATTACTTGATAAGTATTTATTTTTGGTAATAACTCACTTTAACAGGACTGAATCCTAATTGCAATGCTAAATCGATGCCTGCCAATACTCTTTTCAATAATCGTCCATCTCTTTTCGTGATGTTTCCATACGTATCTTGTCGCAACGTGTCTAAGCTAATATTTAGTGCATTTAAGCCGGCACGTTGAAGGTCCACCAACATTTTTGTTAATGTTAAGCCATTTGTAGTCATTGCTACCGTTTTGAGTTGCTTTATATCGCTAATAGATTCTAAAATATATACATGATTGAATTTTTATATTCTACCCGGTTACTACTTCTATAAAGTAGGGATGGGCAAAAAACATCAATTAATTGTTTTCGATTAATCGATTAAACATCGATGTTTATGATCGAAATGTTCGAACTTAAAAATCGATGTTAATGTTTTAGAAGTTCGAATTTTTTATTTGTATTATTTTAGTATGCAGTATACGTAAATGGTTTTACAGTATACGCTATACAATTATAAGTAGGGCTTGTAAGTTCATGCATTATAAAACGCATAATTAAGTATGCAATAATGCACTAACATTTGATCAAATATGTATTAAAAATCCTTAACTATCCACAAAAAAAAATGTTAAAGGATTTTTTAAAATAATAAGAATTATCCATTTATATTTTTTCTTCGATTACACTTTATTAAAATTATAATTAATGAACGCATTACGACGAAAATAGATAGATTGCAATGGACACGTCAATAACAGGTGAATGATTTTGGTGCGCAATAACATTGTTTTCGTGGTACTGCTTTTAACTCATAAAATTTAATGTCATTAAAAAATAAAAATATTGATAAAATTTAAACTTCGATGTTCTTAAACATCGATTGTTTTCCACCGATACATCAAACACATCGATATTTTAAAAACCGATGTATTGATACATCGAATATCGATGTTCAAACAATTTTTCCCATACCTACTATAAAGTAGGTATTCGTCTAATAAGAATAAATATTATACTTATGAGGAGTAGCTTTTGAATTAACATTATAGAAAAAACTGTGTTCAATGTTAATTAATGTAATTTAAATGTGAATTATGTTGTCTTCAAAATAACATTTTGAATATTATTCGTATTGTACAAAACTAAGTTATTATAAAAAGTGTCAACGCAAATCAAGTGAGAAATAATATGTTGTCCACTAATAGTATTAAAATAATTTATTATTATTTATAACTTTTTAAACTATATTAGGTACCATGAATCATCATAATATGATATTGATCATAATCATGGTCAATTTTTGTTAAAATAAACTACATTCGTAAAGGAGTTGATTAAAAATAATCTTAAACAGGTAATGGTAATTCATCATCAATTTGTGGAGAGGTATTTTTAATATTGAAACTATCATTTTTATTATTTTTTGCACTAAATTTGTTTCTTATCTCATAACAAATTTGCTATAAAGTATGAAGTACTCAGTTATTAGTATAGTAAAATTATTTAGTTGATAATTAATGCTATGTTTGACATTTTAATGCATTTTTTTTTTTTTAATATTTGGTTCAAATGATATATTTTTTCTCCAAAAATTATCAACATTTTAAGAGCACTGATTGATAAAAAAAAATGCATAAATAAAACAATATCTCAATAAGTCAATGAAAGAAGTAATAAATGAATTTTTTTGTTAACTAATAGGTTGTTAACTACTTCTCTATAAACAAACTTTGATTAGTATTTTAATGGCCTTTGGTTACAAATGTATGTTTTATTTGATTTACAGGAGCATTTTAAATTAAAAAGCAACAACTTTAAAATGTTCTTAATTGTTTATATAATCATAAATTGAGGTACTAATAACTATGTTTTAAAATTTATTTCAGTTATTGACACAGGATATCAATAACTGAACATTTTTACATAAAATTACATTTTAGTTATTGCCAATAATAATTTTTGTTTATCATAGACCAAAATAGGCAATTGTCTACCTATCTACCTACTTTAAATTTAAATTATTTTTCAGAAATTAATTTTGTGATCTCAGTAGTGATGAAACACTTTATTTTTCTAACTTGTGAAAAATTGGTGATTGTTAATTAAGTTATGGGTATTTAATTGTAACTTGACAATTATAATTTTTATTTTTATTGATATATTTAATTTGTTAATGATTTCTTTAAATTCCTATTTATCCTATATATCCTACATCCTATGTATATATCCTATTTTGTTATTTTTATAATCATAATTTTGTTAGGTATATATTCCTAGATAAGGAAATAATTAATTTTTTATTATTGATTTGATACTGACATTTGTTTTATAACTATAATTGGATTAACTCACATAAGATGTTTATATTTATTTTGTTATTTTTTTTATTAATCTTGAACAAATTATTTTCTTGGTTTTTTTTTTATATAAATTACTCGTAAAAGATTTTCATAGGGTTTCTTTTTATTATTATACTATTCAAATGTATACCAAGAACCTATCTATCTATTTAGTGCTGAAATTTGTTTCATTAACTATACGTTTTTTTGGGTTTATTTATAATAAAAATGTATGTTAAATACCAACAGTGTTTTATATTTTTTTATTTTTAACAGAAATATTTAAACACTATTTGCATAACTATTACTTAATTATTTTAAATGTGAAATTATTTTTTAAAATATTGTTACTTGTGTAGAGGAAATAAAAACATTAATTGGAACTGTTAAAAAGTCAGTTCAGTATTGTAATTACTAAACATATATCTATATTATTTTGGAGGTACTAATATCTTACTTACTTTAAAATATCTATTTTATTTATGATTCCATTTATAAAAATCATTGTATAGGTAGTATTATGAGGATATATGATATATTTTAAATATAATTATGCATTATTGTTCAAAGAACATGATTCAACGGTTTAACCTGTAGATATTTTCTGTTCATTTCTTAACAAAAATATGGTAAATAATTAAGATACTAACAATCTCTATAGAACTAAAACTTAATTTTTCATATAATTTTAGTGGATGCCACTGACTAATGATGAGAGTGCAAATAACATCATCAATGGTATCAATAATTAAATGTCTAGATATGATTGTAAAGAACTGTAAGTATAAAAAAACTTATAACTCTTATACTAATTTTGGTTATAAACTTAGAAATATAACATTTTAAATAAAGTCAAAGAAAATGTAATAATTCAACCATGGTTAAATACCACATATAGAAACAAAAAAGAGCGAAATTTCTTCAAGGAGCGAAAACAGTATATTTTACCCTACTACCATGGTATAATTCAAATAAAAAATAAACTTATAAAATAACGAGAATAGACTATTCAATTAGTAGAATAAACAATTATGGAATTAACTAATCGATTTTATACCAAATAAACAAATACATTATATAGTATTATTTTATTTTTTATTCAGAGCTGAGCTCGGCACTAATATTTAAATAAAGTTAATAACTTGTTATAGAACTCACCCACAATTTGAATAATATCCTTTTTTAATGTAGGTTCTCCTCCTGTGAGTCGAATTTTATTAACTCCTTGTTCAGCAAATAATGAAATCAACCGTATAATTTCATAATTTGTTAATATTTTTGATTGTTCTGAAAGCTGAACGCCTTTGAGAGGCATACAATATTCGCCTAACAAATAAATAATCTGTTATTATTAAATAATAAAAGAATATTTTTTATTTCGCTAATTGATTTTATATGTACACGTATATAAGTAAGTATTAAAAATTAATAATTTTTACATAATTGTTTTATAATATTACTATGAATTATTTCATTAAAAATATTTCAGTAATTATTCTGTTTCTTAACTTTGAGATAAAGTCATAATTAATTTTTATAACGATAAAAAATGCTACCTGTAAATTAAATTATTCATTTGTAGGTATACGAAACAAAAAAAACACAGGTATTTTTAAAAATTGGGAACTTTAAAGAATTTTCCATTTAAATACACATCTTTAAAGTAAATAATTAGTTTATTTCTTTTAATGACTTCATTTTCCATTTTTTTGCTGTAGTTTTTAAAAATGTTTTTTATGCGTACATTATAAAGTATACTTACATCTAAGATTACAACGTTCAGTCAATGAAATTCGAAGGTAATTATGTTTTCTTCCAAATGAGTCCGTTAAAACTTCATTTAAGGACGATTTCTAAAAACATATCTTCTAGGTTAAATAATTAAATAGGTAGGAATTATTTTATTTATGTATTATAAATTATATATATATATATAAATTTTATTTAAAAGTCATGATAAGTGTATCATTAAAAAATATTTTTATTTGCAGTATGATTATAATACGTTTTATAAAACTCAAAAGTCATAATTAATTAATATTCATAAGATTATCCAAATTAAATAATTTTTTAATTTCTTGACGTATTGAGTAAAAAAAAGTAGTAGAAATTTGTAGTAAGTAGTAAATAACAAATGTAAATAAACCTATTCGAATTGTATTTAAGTAATATAATTTATAAATACAGTAATAAAATAAACGACTGGAATTTTAAAGAATAAACAACTTCATTTTTCATCTTAACCTATTATATTCCGAAAGGCCTAATAAATAATTGATACACACATAATATATTTACCCAATAATGTTATTTAATTAAAAAAAAATAAAAATACTTGAAGTAAAAAAATAAATAAATAATTAAATAATTAACGAGTATCTTCTTGTTATTTTTTTTATGAAACAGAATATTTAATATAAAATACAATTGAATATTTAATTAATTGTAGGTTATTCATTAAATCTAATAATTTTGATTCTAAATATCTTTATCTTTAGTCTTTTATTATCTAAGTACCCTAAAACAAATATACGTACTATTACCTAATCAAATATTTTTGAGTGCCAAATACTTGATACGTTTTATTTGAATAACAATTCTTGCTAAATATCTAAACAGTAAATCATAATGGTATATTATATAATTTAAATATGTTAAAAGACAACTTTTAATCATCCAAATATAACAGTTTGTTACCAAACTAATATCAAAAACTTTTTTTTAAAGAGCGAATTTAGTATAGCGAATAATTTTTCAGTTTTACAGCTTAATTAATTAAACTAATTTAACATATATTAAAAAGGTGTTTTTTTTTTTATTATATATAATTATCCGCGGCTTCTATGGCCATTGGACATTACAATGTTTGAGATTTAATACATAATGAAAATAAACTTATTACGTATTACTAATTAATTTATAAAATAAACAAATAGATTGGTGCAGGTTGGTTACAGGAGGTTGATGAGGTGTGTATTTGTGAGGAATTGGCAGAGCTTGACGATATTGTCTGGTTTGGGGCTTAGTGTTTCAGTCAGGTGATAATATATCTGCTGCTTAATTCTCTCAGTATTGTATGCGTTATATTCGGTGATTATATGTTTGACTGTAAGAGGGACCCCACAGCATATGCAAATGTGGGGTCCTCTTTTTTCATTAAGTATGCGTGTGTAAGACGTGTGTGTCCGATTTTGAGGCAGTTAATAGCTGTTATATAATATATAATATATTTTACTGTTGGCTATTTGAATTAACTACTTACTCAGTATATGATAGCCAATATTGTTACCATCATAAAATACGAGGAAAAATTAAAAACCATTTTACTATCATTTAAATTATAAATACCTATTTATATTTTTCTCGTAAAACCAAGAGTTTGCTTCTTGTTGTCGAGTCCGACTTTAAATTGACAATAGCATTTATATTAATAATTAAATATTAATAATAATTAATATTATAATTTATTATTATTTAAGTAATAAGATTTAGCTAAAACGTACTAAATTACTAAACAATATGAGTCTAACTACATAATATATTTGAGAAGTATATATATATCAGTTTTAGGGAGATTGATTTTAAGGTTATAGTGTATAAAAATTAGTAAAAACGTAAAATACCTGTATGTTTTCCTTTTTCGAAATTGTTGAAATGGATTTGATGAACTGTTTGTTTTTGAAAATTAAACGTAACAACATTGTTTAAAATAAATTAATTTTTCCCGTCCAGAGAAAGTGAAGTTCTGTATTGTACTACACGACCGGTTACTAATAAAATATTTTAATACTGTTGTCTCACTTGATATATGATCCTCGATTTGCTTATCGCTCACTACATAAATAAGGCTTCTATTTCGATATATTTTGTATTAATTACTTTTTGTATCATACTTTCTTAAACTTGTTATCTTCTCATTAATATTATTTGCATTTAGGGTCGCGTTAACCAAGTGTACAAAGGTGTTCAAAAAACAAGGGTGGCCGAAAATTTAGTACTGCTTTATAAATCAAATCTCAGAAAAAATTATCATAATAATTATTTGTAATAATAATAATTAACTGTAAATAATATAAAACATGTTTTAAACAACAACTAAAAATAATTTTAAAAACATTTTTGAAGTTTAACAAAACCCTGAAAAGTGGTCAAGGTATAACATTTGTGAAAGAGCATATTCGTTTGTATAATATAGGTTAGGTTAAACACTATACATTTTCTGTAATGTATTTATTTATATTCATGGAATACAACAACAAAAATTTTACCCAACTCAATATTCCACAATAAGTTCATAACCATAAATCATTCTAATACCTTAATACTTTTTGCATATTATACGGTTTAGTTTATATTATTTTTAGATTTTCAATTCGTACAGCTTTTAATTGATATTTGTTTATATACGCAGTTGATATTTAATGCTATTTCATTTATTCTCAGTATTTTGTAATTAGTTATAAATTAGAAAATCTTGTCATTGTAAAATAAAATATAAAACAATTATAAAAACATAAATTTCATAAAAATAAAATAGAATAGTTATAACATACAGCATTGTTTTTATTAGAATTTAGGTATAAAGGCCCATGAATTTTGGAACGCTTACATTACGATATTAAACTGACTTCTGCGTTTTTTTTTATATTTTTCTTCATATTTGAAATGTACCAAGATAATCAAAAATATAATTATTAAAATGCCATTGGTAACTAGGTAATTCTTTCAATTGATTTATCAACATTTAGCGCAGAATTTGTGTTTAACATGTATTTTTATATTTTTTCATATATAAATATTGGTGATTATGAATGTACATACTTTACGTACTTTATGCTAACCCATAAATTCGGGTTCTACTCATTGCCACTTATTCTTGATAATTAATTATTATATTATTTTAATCTCATTTACAATATAATTTGATTTATTTCTTTAAGTTAATATTCATTTTTATACGTTTGATTTATCGTAATATGTGTAAAATAATAATTTATGTGCATTTTAACATTTTATTCGAAAAACTATATGTTTAAAACTGTTTTAATTTCACCTTGCTTGCAATGAAACATGAATATATTATACGATATATTTGTATTTTTGTATAGAATCCGAAATATCGTTTTCATTATCATCAAGAAAATTTAAATTAAATTTTTTATATTTATTTGTTTTATTTTTATGCATTTATTTTTATTTCAAATAAATACTAAGATATTGTAAGTTAGTATTTATTTATTTTGGTTTTTATAATAAATTTATAATAATAATTATAATAATAATAATAATTTATATAAATTTTATAAAATAAAAAACAATTTTGAAAAAAATTATAAGAAGTAACAAAAATTACTCTTTTCTTATATATTAATTTTAAAATCGAAATTTTATAATGAGAAATGTTGATGTATTATATCAATGTTGGTCCAAGTTAAACATTTAACAAACTGTGAGTAAGCTTAATATATTTACTTTTATAGATTAATTATACTATATTGATTCATACTTCATACATGGACTTCGTGAATAAAATATTAGAAAATCGTCGCAAAAAATGTAGTAAATAAAAAAGTTTTTTCACATTATAACTATATATTTCAACTCCAAAATAATATAAGTAAATAATCTTTCAAAAAAATTCTCATTTTATCACGTATTTTTTTTTCTATACCTACGTATTAAAATTAAATTTACTATCATATTTTTTTATACATTTATCGCAGTATACGTATAATATGCTCTAAAACAAACTATATCGTTATCGTATATACTAACCAATAAAGTTCTAGTTCATTATATTTTTAAGTTATCAAATTATGTCGTAATCTCTAATATTCTTTTATCTTAGTATCCAATAAATATCTTATATCAAAAATATACCACAATATTACACATACGTACGTTAACAAACTAATATAGTCGTTTTGATAGAATATGTATAAATATATATTCTTTCTATATACTTAACTACCAGTCGTAAAAAATATAAAATATAACAAAATATTTTTTAAAAAAAAAGTAAAATACAATTTTTATTAATTTATTAATTTTATTTTCAGAAATTTTTAAATAGAAATTTATTGATCTTTAATATCGATATGACCCATGCACTTAAATGAGCATACTGATCAAATTAATGTATAACTACAGAATGTAGGTATCTCGATCTGTTATCTTTTCAATATTCAACAAAATATATAAAAATAAGTTTAATATATACTTATATACTGTACACCTTCTAAGTGTAACTAAATCTTATTATTAAATTAACTTTTATATTAAAAATTAAAATTAATTGTTTGTTTTAATCTAATGCCGGATCCACTTAGAATCGACTTTAGTGTAGTTATTTTTAACATCTGTCTGTGTTTTGAAAGTTATGCTTGTGTTTTGTTTGATTTTTCACTAAGTATGTACCTGACAAAAAGCCCAATTCAGTATTCACAGAAATGTGTAATTTGATTTCGTTATAAAATGATCCACATCAAAAAATTTGAAATGTGTATCTCACATATAATCAATTCCTTAAATACAAATTCAGGGGGGTGATCGCCCCTTCGCCCCCCCTAAAATACGCCCATGTACCTGTACTAACTTTTATGTTTTAAATTATATTTTCTTCTCCACTTAAGAATGACTACTTATTCTTATTAATTGTACAAATTTAAAAAAAAAAAATAAAACAACAATAATTATAATAAAATAAATAATAAATTGTTATGGTTAGTTTTTTCATTAATATTTATAAAATGCATGTTCTTAGAAAAATGTTTGTAAGATCTAAAATAGCAATGAACTATCTTCCCTTCTTAACTGCCAATTATTTTTTAACTTACTTAATTTAACAATAATAACTCATTGACACGTTTTAATAGGGAAAGGCGATTTATTATTATTGTTTAGGAAATTGATCCAGTTTTAAACTCTTGACCTACGTCAATGTCCCATTCGCGAAAATAATTTAAGGTTTTTATAAATTTTTCTATTTTGCTACTATTATTAATTTTATTAGTGATATTAGTTGTTTCTATTTAACGTTATTTTTAGGTATTGAGCTATAATTCCAAATGGCAATAATTCTTTAGCAAAACAAAAACCATTCTCAAAAAAAAAAAAAAAAAACGATAGTTGAAATATTTAAATAATTTTTTATTCACACATTAAAATTATTGTATGTTCATCAATTATTATAAAATGTATTGTAAATATAAACATAAATCATTAAATTATTACAATTATTACTTCTGATATTAGTATAATTAAAATGAACTTTTATTAAAATGTTTTGAGTTACAATACCACCAACAGGACATATTATGAAATATAACTAACAATTTCAATAGAATAATTGTAAAAATTTATATTCTTTGTTATGCATACATATAGTAAAAGAAAATATATTTTTAAACCGTAGGTCTATAAATTACAATTGATTATGAATAAAGAAAATAAAAGAAGTAAAGTTTTATAGTTACCTAAATTAATAATAAATACAATTCTAATGAAAAAATAATTCTTATGGTTTATATAGTAAGGCTATACGATAAATACAGAAACTTATAAAATTAAGTTAAAATAGTTAAAAAATTAATAATGTAGGTATTGCAATGCGATAGAAATAGTCAATACAAGATCAATGCTTAAAAGTAATCAATTTTTCCGATAAGTTTACGTCCGTTTTTCAATCTTAACTCTAATTCCTTTTGTCGCATTCAAAACTATTTCGCCAGCCATAACTAATTTATCTTCTGAGTCTAACGATTGAAATTTGTACGACTTTATTAATGTTGCTATAACTATTTTTTGCACGAGCATGGCGAACTTTTGACCTAAAATATGACACAAATATATTTTATTATTCTTTATGCTAGTAGAAAATATAATACAATATTTAACAATACAAATAAAAGTATTACTAAAATTCAATATTGTAAAATAATGAATATGATCGACATTAATTAATATTTTTAGTATCATTTGTATATTTGTTTACAATTGCATTTTAAAGTGACATGATATATTTATTAGAAGAAAATGTAAGTCTTATGTCAAAACAAAATAAAATAAAATAAAATCTTAATTAATATAAAATTAACTGAACAGTTCACTATAAATTATATTAACTGAATTAATGAACAAGCTGAAATAGCAAACAAATCTGTTTAATAAAATAATAAAATACTCAATGATTAGTTATGTTATACTACGACCACCACCCACGGCAACAATAACTAGGAATGTCAGTAAAATTTTTTTATCACATTTTCTGCGCATCTAATAAAAATATCCAAATATTTTGTATACTATGATACATGGTGCGTGACATACCCAATGAAAAAGTTATCTATTCGAGCATTGAAAAAATACTATATAAATTTAAGATTGTATTTTAAAATTTTTAGTTATTAGGTTATGATTGATAATTAGACACATAAATAATGAGAACAGCGTGACAATTGTCGGTTGATATAATATTTTATCGGTAGATATATACATATGATTATTTGAGTTAAAAACTAGAGATATTTATGTAAAATAATTTAATATCATGTGTTCTTTATATGTCATTTTAATTCATTAGTATTTTATTTATAAAATAAACGGTGAGGTCGTTTCTAATTTATTCGAATAATTAAATATAACTGAAATCAAATGATAAATGTCCAGTGACGTCCTTTCTACCAATAACGTCTTAGGACAACAACATTTCTCCCTCCCCAATTTTTTTTGGAAATTTAACATTACATTTATACGTATAATTTACCTCATACTCATATATGTTTAATATTTATTAAAGATAACTGCTCATTTTTATTAGTTTTGTTATTGTTATCTTATTTATATATATTTATTTATTTAAATTTTATGATACTTCAGAATACCACTGACTTCAATATTTTGGCTAAATTATAAAAAATTTTAGTACTTATAAAGTACATTAAGTTATAAGTAATATATTAACATAAACATTCAATTAAAATTACTTTTTGTGTTTATAAGAACAAGTTATTAATGATAATAATAAAAATGAATAAATATGTTTTAATAATTATATAAAAAAGATGTAATATTCAAATATTTGAACATTATGTATACAACTATTTTTTTTTTGCAAAATTTTTAACAATATTAATAAATTATGCCTATTTAATAATAAATGTGTTTCCAAATAGGTATGGTGTGTACAACATTGCTATATAAAGTGATGTTTGTTTACCGAATTTTCTGAATTCAATCAAACTCGATTTATTTTTAGAAATAAGTAAAATCTATAATGAATTGCTAATTAATAACTAAGACGCAGTTTGTATATATATATATGTTAGGTAAATGTAGGAATATCGGTAAAATCTAGGATTTAATGGTAAAGTTTTACGGACTGTGGTCAATAAATGTCTGAACTTCGGACATTTATCGATTTATTTCACTAAAATCTAGAATACAAAAAATAGTTTGATCAAACCAAAAATGATTTTTGTTTGGACTTTTGCAAAAGAGATTTGGTAAAAATACGAAATTGTTCACTAATTATGTGATATAGTGTTCTTTTGCTTTATACTCGTACATAAAAATAAATGTATAATTAAATAATAATATTATAATTAATAATCTAATGTATAATTTAAATGTATTAAACACTGCATTTTTCTTATTGTGATTAATTTTTACGATGCCCCCTAAATTTATAATTCTTTGAATGCCTTAGGACACTTGCCCCATCCCCCCCCCCGTGTATATGCCGAAAATGTTTATATTTATTTACATCAAAATTTTACCATCCTTAATACTGAAGTGTTGTATTTCATTATCTTTAACTTACCGATACAATTCCTTGGTCCTGCACTAAATGGTATATAAGCATAATTATGTCGATTCATTTTATTTTCATTCAAAAATCTATCTGGATTAAATTCGTTAGGTCTTTCGAAATATTTTTCATTTCTGTGTAATGCAAAAACATTTATGAAAATTGATGTTCCTGGTAAAATCGTGTGTTTATCATCTACAAACATTTATAAAGAACAAAAATATAGTTTAAATTAATTCATATTTTTTTTAAAAATAGGAGTATTTTTTCGAAAGATAAATTTGTTTTGCGATCTAGTAATCATTCTTGACAAAATAATTACATACATCTTCAAATTTAAAACAAATAAAACTCTAATATATTTTAAAAATATTTTTGATTGATTTACGACATTTTTAGAAATGTCAATGATATTTTTTCTTTAGTGAAGAATATAATATTCTAAATATTTTCTTAAAAAAATTCAACGACTGTACTAATTTTATATAATGCCTAAATAATGTATAAAATTTAAAAATTCAACTCTTAACTATTTTAAGAATATTAAGATCTACTATTTCGCATTATGTTGTACATTTCACTAACGCTAAATATATGTTTTTATTTACTTTGTATGTTATTTCAATTATATACCTAAAGAGCTTTTTACTAAATATTGAATATAAATTAAGTATTTGATGTTAAATTAATATAATGAATTATTTTTTATAATATATTATATATAAATATGATGTTTTCAAAAGTTAATTATCTAAAAACTTAAAAAATTAGCTATAGTAGGTAGGTACATAGTGAATCCTTAACTATCCTGAACTCATTTTTCCTAACAATCACCTATTGTTTCAAAAACAGTACTTCCTGAACCAATCAAGTCAAACTCTTTTAAGATTAAAATATTAATATATATTTTTTACCTATCTGAACTGGTTTATATATTTGTCGACCGATAAATGGAGCCGGTGGATAAAGTCGTAAAACCTCCTTAATTACTCTGTCCAAGTAATGAAATTCATTAATAATATCTACTGTGAGTTTTTGATTACTGAAGTCCGGTATTATTTTGTTTAATTCTTCCAGTATATGATCTTGTACTTGTGGATGTTTGCCTAAAACATATATGATCCAAGAAAGTGTAACAGAACTTGTGTCAACACCCTGAAATAAAAAAATTAAATAACACATTTTGAATAATAAAAACTAATTTCAAATCATTTATTTTTTCTAATCATCAATCGGTATAAGTGCAATTATATATAATTAAATATAATATTTACCGCAAACAAAAACGTATCAACCTCTTCTTGAATATCTTCGTCACTCAATACTTTTCCATCTTCTCCTGTTTCTATCAATAAATCTAGTAGCGCTTTGTTATATTTTTTTCCTAATAAAGAATTTAATAGTTATAACTATTTACATTTACAACAACATTATTATCTTTACCGTTAATCTCATTTTTATTCATATCCGACAGCTTATTGTTGAATAATTTAAAATTATCTTTCCTTTCCTTGATAACCTATAATAAATCCACTTTAGTATCTATTATTTTTATTTTGAATAAATTCCAATGTAGTACCTTTTTTGAAAATTTATGAACAATATCTATACACGCATTTTGTCTTTTACTAAGTGTTGTTAAATTAAACAAAAAACTAGGTTTTAACCAAGGTGTTATAAATCTTTTCTGCATGATTCCAGTGAGCCTGAAATTAAAATTTTCATTTTCAATATTACTACAAAATTAGAAATAAATGTCTTATTGATGAAATTAGAATGAAAAAAAAATTTACACGAAAGATAATTAAACTAAAACCAATAATTAATAACTGTTGAATTTTTTTTTTTTTTTTGTATATCCTGATTTGTAAATTTTTGTAATAATTTCTTAACTTCAAATTCAGATTATAAATTTAAAAGGTCGACTAATATTATAGTAATTAGTCTTACTCATCAATTGCTTTGATGTATTCAAAATCTGAATTCTCTTGTGCATTAAACTCATATCCCATAGCTGTGTCACCTATGATGTCAAGCGCAGCCATTTTCGCATAGGGCTTTATGTCAAATCCAGCCGTGTTACAAAGCTCTTTTTCCAACACCTTCACTAAGATTTTACTATGTCTTTCTATCGGATTTATAAATTCTTTAAGTATACCATAATGGAAGGTTGGTGTCAATAACTTCCTTCTCGTATGCCATTTTGATCCTACATTAAACAGTATAAATATAGTAATAATTGTATATATATAAAAAAAAAAAAACATGTAAGTACAATGTACATACTTACAAAGGGGGAAACTCCTAGTTGGGGCGGGATAAAAGTAGCGGTGAATAATATTGCTATATCAATTTTTAAAATTTGAAATAAATTTACCATTACTCTCGAAAAAATAATTTTAAATAAAAGAAGTCGGTGTATTACTTTCAAATTTTTAAATATGGTATCTCATCCGACCAAGGAATTTCGCTCTTTTTTTAATTTTCGTTTAAAACGTAAGATATTATATATTGTTTAATCTTTGAAACAAAATATGTTACTTTAATAAAAGATGTTTTATTAAATAAACTATTTATTTTTTACTTGAAACTATTTAATATTGTACCTAATACTTATTGTTCTAATAAAATTATAAGGTACATGGACAATTTCGATCATTTTTAACAAGCCATGCTTGACTAGTATTAAATTATTTGAATAACTTGAATATAAAAAATAAAAATAACTTTTATTTTGTTTCAATAATACTTTCAATGAACTTCAAATCATATGTTTTACATGTTTTGAATGAATGTCAAATTTGTATGGCTTTTTAGACCACATGCTCTATGCTTAGAAAATCTATTGTACTAAATTGTAGAAACATAATTATTTTTATTATTTTTATAGTTCTCTTTTAATGTATCTATTAACTGTTCTGATTTTAGCTGTGGGACTTTGAATAAAGTCTAAGTTTACTTAAAACTTATTCATATTGTAGTCAGCTATGATCCGAAGTTATTAAAATTATAATTGTACAATACATAAAATACACGAAACATATGAATAACCATTTATTTATTAAGATGGAAATCGAAGTGAACCATAAAAATGTATAAAAAATTAAGATTTTATAATTTATAAATAATACATAATCAATGTAATAACATGTTATTTTACATGAATTATTGAATCTTTATTAATTTAAAAAAAATCATTACTCATATAGTTTATACAAAATAATTTTTACCTGAACTAGTAACCAAGCCGGTACCAATAAACGGATACAGTAAATCGTATTCCAAATTTTTCTTTATATGTTCAAATGACCTTAAAATTTCCTAAAACAAAAATTAAATATCAATATTTATTTTGTACTAATTTTTAAATTAATTAAATATAAATATTCAATTTTAAAATTTGATTTAATTATTATATATTCAAAATTAATGTTTTAATTTGTTTTTCATTTTAATATCCTACTCATAGTTTTATATTAAAGATAGGTACTATAATTAATATTCATTTACCAAAACGTATTTTAAATCAAAAAAGTATTTTTCTGAAATGAATCAAGTGCACTTAATAAACGGTAGGCAATATATTTTTTACCGCGCACATAAGTGTATTATAGTTTATATTAGTTTAAAATCGACCGATGGCATATTTGTTATATTTGTGTGTAAACTGGTAGTTTAAAATATATATTGATTAAACAAAACCGTATTTAATATAATCTTAAAATAATGAAATTTTTCAATATTTAGGAATATCTAAATATGGTTACAATAAAACGGCTGTTTGCTCAGTCACCGGTTCGAACTCAGTCATCTGTGGCGATTTTTCTTTCTGAGTAATATTGTAACTCAATCTTAATGAACTTTTTGAGATATAATGGCAACAATACTAAAATATCCTTAGCCCAAATAAAAATAGAAAAAATGTCTAATATAATGTTTTGTGTTTGTTAATTATTATTTCAATACCAGTAGAGTAAGTTATTTTTAATATTATATTAATTTCCTTTGTTTATTTGTTTGAGATAAATAAATAGTTACACGTTTCAATTTTTTTTAGAAATATAATACATATATATATATATATATATATATATATATATATAATATACATCTACGAATGGTTGTTTTTAGAATTGTCAACTAAACAAAAATATATTGATCGTCAGATAAACAAAAGTGTTGTTATCAATCATTTTTTTAACAATATGTCATAAATATCATAGATAAATAAATAAAAAAATATATTATGTATGGCCAAATGGTACGTGAACATATTTTAAAGTAATATTATTCTTTTTTAATAATTTTAATTGTATTCATTTAACTTACGAATAACTTATAATTGATTGTATTTATTTATACTAGTTTTTAGATAAAAATGTGAAAAAAATGCATGACATACTTATTATTGATCATTTAAATAATCAGTAGTTGAACGTAAACATTCTTGTTCATAAATCTTTTGCACAAGACGATCATGATGCGCCACGTGTTTACTAATAGTAGTGCAATAAACATCAAAGTAATAATGATAAGTTCGATTAATATAGAACATGCGAGGTCGTTAATAAAATTATACTCAGCAATTGATTATATCGTATTTTTTTTTTATTTTTTTATTTGTTTTATTATTATTTTTTTTTTTATTTTTTGATAAGCATGTGCAACCGTTGAACTTACATTTGTCAACGATTAAAAAAAAATGGTCACAAGTAAAAAAAAAAAAATGTGATGAAAAAAGTAAACAATAAATATATTTTATTTTATATTTAAACTCAAAATTGTTTTAAAATATAAATTTTAATGTAAAGCACTATTCACGCTAATATTGTGTTTTCTGTGCAGGGGCGTACTGGATTTATTTCCATACCGGGAAACTGGATAAAGTTAGGGCACACTTACTATACATACTAATATAAATGAGTCATATGTATAATGACGTGCCTATAATAATACCCAGGTTGGTTACCCATTTCTTACACTAAAACAAAACTATAAAAAAAACCATGAACAAAAATAATAAACCAAATATACATTTTGATTTAAGTTCTATAAAAATAAATAAATACACAAAAATTTTAAAATAATTCTTTTTATTTAAGTGATCTTGAATAAATTGTAAATTAAAAATTAAAAAATTAAAAATAAATGGCCCGGTTGCTCAGTGGACCAGTACGGGCCTGTTCACACGTTACTTGAGTAAGAGGAATTGTTAAAAGAAACTAGTAAACTTCAAGTAATCTATTATACTCTAAAGCAGGGGTGGTGAATCTATGACACGCGTACCAAAGATGACACGTTGAATAAATTTTAATAGCACTCGCAAAAAATTGAAATTATTTATAAAATATTGTTTATAAGAAATTCAAAGAAACAAATTATATACTTTTTTTTATTTATTTTTTATTATATTATATTAAACGGGTATTTAAACCCGTTAAAAAAATAGTATGGTAATTGTGTATACGTTTTCAATTTGAAATTATTAACAATATCATTTAAATTTAGCATTTTATAAATATATATTATATATGAAAAAACAAAATGATACAAAAATGTTAAGTAAAAATGAATAAGTGTATTTATACAACATGTGGAAGAAAACATAATTAAGCAATATTTTATAAATATAACAATAAAAATACAATAACAAATCAAAAATATGATTAACAATTCAAAATGTAAACTTAATTAAGTAGATTATGTAAAATGAGTTATACATATAACATAAGTTTTAAAAATGACAATATTCCTTATGCTTTCATATTTTTTGTCAACTTATGTTTGTGAAAGGTTATTCACCATAACAAATTTAATTAAATCGAAGGATAGAAATGTTTTGACCGATGAAAAAATTGCTGCTTGTGTTTCACTAAAACGACTAAAATTTAGTAAAAATATTGTAATAAATCTGTAATTTTATTTTTATTCTTAGAAAATATAATTTTCTTTGGGCTCGTGAGGATTTTCAAAATGTTAATTGGAAAAATTTAGCACTTGAACCAAAAAATTTTTGCCACCCTTGCTCTGAAGAATACATATTGAACTCATAAATAACATTGGTTACGCATAATAAATATGAATTACATTTTTTTTTCTTGTACACTATATATTATTATCATTTTCCTGAGAGTATTCAAAATTATTATTGATAATTATTAATCCAAGTGATACATGATCAAAGCTAATAGTTATAGTACACCAAAAATTGCATTATCAGTAAATAAGACAATCTGCAATTGTAAACCACTTAAAATGGTACAACAATTTAAATATTTAGAAGTCATAATGGATCAGGAGCTGAAATGGTCTGAGCATATAAAATTTATCAAAAATAAAATCCGGAGATTAATTTCCCTATTTTACAAAATTCGCTTTCTTAATAAATCAGTTGTACGGCAAATTTATATGGCATTATGTAATTCACTCTTATTATATGGTATATCATGCTGGGGAGGCGCCAGCAGAACAGACATACAATCGGTATATGCTGCCCAGAAAATTATTATAAAAGTAGCCTACTCATTCCCACCAACATACCCTTCAATAGATCTTTTTAAAAACACTAACATACTATCAATCTATAAATTATACATTAAACAAATACTTATAAAAACAATTCAAATGCAGATACTTAATAATAAAGAAATAATAGACAGTAGAACAGGCAATAACATAAAATTACCTTATATATCATTATCCAGTACAAAAAGTGCTCCCAATCATATGGTCAAAACTATATTCAACAATTTGGGAAATGATGTAAAGGGTCTAATAAAGTATGAATGTGAAATTAATAAAACCAATGTAAAAAATATATTTCACAAAAATCGTATAAAAAAAACAATTACTAAAACAGTAAATGGCCTTGATGAGAATGTGTGTAAAAATCAATTATTAAAAAGTATCTATGTGTAATTATAAAGGATTATCTATTAATATAGTTTAGTTATATAATTATAAGATAATGTTATTTAGCGAAGACACGTGTTATTTCATTTTATTATATTATATATGTAATATGTATAGGAACTCCGTATACCAGAAACGAGCTTGCTCAGTTGGTATACGTATCAGCTCTTATCAATATTATTGTAATAATTTAACTTTTGTAATTTGATTATTGTATTGAAATAATGATATTGATTTGCTGAAATAAATAAATAAATAAAATAAATAAATAAAAATTACCATTGAAATTTATTATTTGACCTTTATGCAATTTTCTCTTTTCATCTATTTAATTAAAATTGTCAAAAATAATAAAATTACTGAACCTACTACTTATTACTAACTTTACTACTAAAACTCAGTGTTGCCAATAGTGTGGTAATCACCCCATATGGTGGTAATTTAATCCACTTGTGGTACATGGTGTGGTATAGTATTAAATGTGATATTTTAGAAAAAAAAAAGTGATATTAGAGAATTAAATTGCATTATTACACTGAAATTAGCAAATTTTTTTTTTTTGTTAAATTATCAACCGTGGTTTTATAAAATATTTACAGATTTCAGCTGTAAACTGTTCTGTGTTAATATTATAAATTTTAATCATAACCGTGATTACCATTACTAGTTATCACGTTCACATCATTCATCGTGTAATCACAACTAGGCATTATCCACCATAGATATATAAATATAATAAAAGCTGTGTTTATATTAAATATTTATATTTTATAATCCAAATTGTGAATTTTTTTTTTTATTCAAAAAATATAGATATAGTTAAATATAGTAAATTATTATTTGTTCTATTATATTGTTTATTAATCGTCATACAATAAAAATTATGTTTTATAATTTAAAATACATATTGTTATATCCAGTAAACAAAAAGTAAACATGTAAAAACTATATATAGTGTAGGTAGTAATCGTAAACTTATTCAAGTTCTATAAAAAAAATAAATATATATATATATATATATATATATATATATAAGTGTAGTAGTAATGTAGTATATATATTATACGATATTAATACTCGCGAGCGAAACCACGCGTTATATTTCTAAATTTTAATGTGGTATTTAGGGTGGTAATTTTGTTATCATGGTAATATGACATTTTTATTTCGATAACATTGCTAAAACTACAGGTACCTATTTGGTAGGGAGCCCAGGTCTTATAATTTTTAAGATGGCCTACCGGGATTTTCCCAGTATAGATACTGGTGGGCCAGTACGTCTCTGTTTCTGTGTACTAAAAAACTAATTTACTATACGTACACATAGGTACATTATTAGTAATATCTATATTTATATTATACTTCTCCATAATTATACATTTTTTTCAACTGAAATTATTAAAATATAAACTGAAAATGTTCACAGTTTTATTATGATTTTTGGAAGTAGTATCATCATTAAATAAACAGACAACAATAAACCTATATTATAAATATATGTCTTAATGTACTATCATAGATCAGAAGATAAAAATCGTTAACAATATTTTGTATTAAAAATACTTAAAATTCATGATTTTTAATATATGTTTATATATATTTTTTTTAATTATTATTACTTCAGTAATTTTAGTATAAAATTTAAATGTAAGGTTTTAAATAAATAATACACCTATTGTTTGATACAATTTTAATAATATACTGTACCGTGTCAGTCAAGTTTATAATAAGCAATATTAAACTGATAAAACATAATAACTGTTATTTATTTCTTGTTCAAATATTCTACAACAATGATACATATTTAAAATTATATTTTAATTTATTTACATATAAATAATGTCTTAAATACCTGAATATGATCTGGGTCACTCATTGCTATGAATGGTCGAAGTCCAATCCAAAATTGAAATGTGTCTCCAAATGATTTGTGCCATTCTAACATAAGCTTAAAGAAATCTGTAAAAAATAAACACATATATTAAGTACTTATATTGAATAAAATCTGTTTATGTGTGGATTCTATATAGTGAATAGATTTTAAAATATTTATTTTCTGATTTTTTTTTTTTTCGGTGTACATTATAGGTCGAGTATTGTGCATATAAATTATATTAGGAAGATTTTATACATCCACGTAAAATAAAATAAGAAAAACTATTGTTATACAGATATCCATACTATGAAACTTTTATATAAATATTTTTTTATACTGATTTTAATATTTCAAATTATAATAATATTAATATTTTTATAATGGATCTAATTATTAATAAACATATAATTTATTATACTCTGTTTATAGTCTCAAAAATATATAATAGTTTTATTTGTACATGTTTTAAGGCCTAAAAGTATATTTAAACGACGTAACATGTAGATTGGTATGCTAACCTAACCTTATAGAATTCTATGTCATAGAACATAAGTAGGAATTCAAAATGAGTAAGTTTCGGTAAGTCTCGTCTTGGACTGCAATTCGTGTTACAGAATGATTTATTATTTGTTTAATGCTCCCCGATGGCTATTTAAGCTGACTATAAAATAGTTCGGTGTTTTGCACTTCCCTCACAATTATCTTCGTAATCATTGCGAACAGTAATCAGTAAAAAGTTTTAATAACAACTTTAATATTCTACGCGGGGCTGTTAAACAAATTACACTACACGAACAAGATTGATCACACCGAAACAGTGTAGTGCAACACGTATAATAATGCCACCTACTAAAAATCGCGAAAACTGTACTGACAAGTGGGCAACGAAAACAACAAACCGAATCTGATATTACACTATTAAACGGAAGACGTGCATTCACGGGGCTTACGAATTGCATGTCCAAACTTCTGCGCATGTCTTACTAAAATGCATACAACTTTCTGTTCGTTGTGCACGGCCGGTCGACAATAGGTTACGGTAAACAAGTAATGCGTTTGGACGCACTGTGTCATTTTACCGACGCTTGACGTTGACGCGAGTAAGAATTATATATACACATATAAAATATATAAAATACATATAAAATGTACAGTCTAGTGATATTACGTTTGATGCTGCAGGGAAAACGTACCTTTATTCTATATAAATGTATTGTTATATTATTCAGTCAAAAATGTTCGTATTTTATTTTTATAACATAAATTTAGAAATTTTTGATAATACCATTATTATTTTGACCGACTGACGATGGCTGTTGACCAAGCTCGTACTGGCCCACCGGACAATCGGGCAGATGCACGACGCGCCCTTAAAAATTACCACTACAAGATTTTGAAGAGATATCCATTGTTTTTCATTAACAAGTAATAACCCCATGGTCTTCAGTAATACATCATTGAAAAATGTTTATATTTTTGTGAAGGCAAGCGTTAAGTCTAAATTATGATTCTTTAATCTGTAATCTATTGGGCCATATGTAACCTGAAGGATTAAATAACAAAAATTAAGGCGCCCTTAAATATTTTCGTAATCGCCCCATAAAAACAGCCAGTACGGGCCTGCTGTTGACTGCCAATCGCTGCGCTCATAGAGTTTTGTCCTAAAAATATCTAAAAACATCTTCCATATTAGACTATCTGTATTTATTGGTCAACCATAGAATAAAGAAAATCCTGTCAATAGTTCGAAACTAGTCAACCATAGGTACATACGAATTACGTATACCTACGACCTACCATTACAATTTACCATGCGTTAATGTACGTCACAGTTAGAAGTGATCGCGATACATTTTTTCATACATATTTTTTTATAAGAAAAGGGTAATTTTAAATTTTAAATATAATTCAATAAAGACATTCAATGCAGTTTATGAAAAAAAGTATTAATAAAGAATTATTGCATTAAATACTTGTTGCATCTACTTATATATATATATCGAATTTACCAGTAGGTATTTAAATAGTAAATATATGTACATATTTACATTTCACCCTTCCCGTTTATGTAGGCTGGATCCGCGCGATCGGTGGGCCAACTAATTCACGGGAAGTCGATCGATCCGGCGAACGTGCACGAGAACATTATGTGTATTGTTAATGTTTTTTTTGGCTTACGTGTTGAATATTTAGCGTTCCAGTACAACTTACTGACCAAGAAATCCAATATTGTAATAATCTTATTAGTTGCATACATCTGTAACGCGCGTGCACGTACGATTCGTACGGTTCGGCGATCGTGTGCATCGGAACCGCCGGAGCGACTCGTACCCGTTTCGCCGTCACGATCGCAGTGAACGATAACGCGCGCGCGGTAAGCCGCTCTTCCGGCGACACCCGGACACGATGGAAGACGGCGGTAAACTTGCCGGACCTGAGATGATTTTTGGAAAACGGAAGGCAAGTGGGTCGACGGTGCGCGCTCCAAGAGCCGCCGTAGCGGAAGAACCGAAGACCGGAAACCGATCGGAGACGTGGTGTGCGCTGTGGAGACCAGGGTTTATTTTAAGGTTTATAAAGAAGTGCGCAAAACTTAAAAATCAAAAATATTACTCTCTGCGTATGATTATAAGCTCCACTGCGGTCGTGCAATAATATTGTGACAATAAAATAATAATAATAACACAGTATTAATAAACCTAATCTGATGATTGACGGACCCTCTACCTGCACTCGGCCATGAAGTAGACAACTATAATTTATTATTGAGAGAAATTTTATTTATAGATAGTATTTACAATTGTGCATTTTTTGAATTAAAGCTGCGCATTTTTCATTTAAAGTTACGCAAAATGTGTTCAAGCACACGTTGAAATAAGCCCTGACGGAGACGCTGTCGTGCTGTCCGAGAGGGGCCGGTGGTGTTATATGTGCGTTGTCGACCCAGACCCGTGTTGGTGGTTAACACGTCGCGTCGTAATGGTTCGAAAAGCCGAACGTATTGGACGGCCATACGGAGACCGGTAACGAAGACAGCAGGGTAGTCTTCCGAAGGCGACGGGTGAGTAGTCGATGGCGGTGCCGAAATGATCCATCAATCGCCCGCTGTCGGGGTACGGACATCGGTGAGTATCGGCTATCCGTCCGTTAATGCCTCGTCCGGATCCGATGGTTATCGCCCGGATCACGGGATCACAGCGCGAACGTTGATGAAACGCGCATGTCCGTCGTTCGTCCGTTCATTTGGAAGCAAACGACGTTGACGAACAACTCTGCAAGGATTCTCTGGTTGCATGGTGTTGAAAAATAATAATTCCTATCGTAATAGTTGTGCAATCCGTTTAAATTGCTGTCGTTGCGTGCAGATGAATGGTGCGGTACTACTTTTGTATTAAACATCTGTTTCGTTGGTGGAGTTTTCGAAACAGTCAACTTCATTAATGTATAATTTTTAATGTGTGATTGTTTTCATTTTTGTATTTGAATTTTTGTAAATCAAAAATAATTGTTTCGTACATGGTGCTGCTTGAATTTCCGCGAGGGATATATTGGGTTGCGGCGAATCTCATTTTGTTCCATTACTTTTGATCATTGTTATTTGTTCGATAAAAATGTGCAGTGGATAATTGTAATAGATTCATTTTGGACATAAATCGAACAAATTTGAAATCCCTTAACAAAAACTTTTTTTAAATACTATGTGTTAGCAAAAGACCGTACGTTTGTTTTGATTTCGTTATCCAAATAAGACCATTGACAATACAATTATTGTTCGTGGGATAATTTCTTAACATCTCGTATCTATAGTCACATAGCCAAGGACCAGAAGTCAGTGCCGATTTTCCGTCTGATACGAATACACGACAAGTTTCAAAGCATAAAAAACTATTTTTTTCAAAACAATTGAGTGGTAAATATTTTTGTTAATTATAAAATAATATCAAATTTAAATCATATCTCTTTACACTTTGAATTTACTTAAAGTTAATTTATTTTATTTATTAAATAATCATGAATACTTAATTTCGTCAAATTATTGAGCGATATTATCCATATCATTATGATATGATATAAATGAACAAAAAATACCTGCCTTCTAAAAAATTGTGTTTTTCGTATGGTACTCATAATATTTTAAAAACATGTTATGCGTACGAATCGCTTAATACTCGTTTATACGTATTTATTATTATAACCTGTAAACAATAAGATAAAATATTAAAAGTACTAAGAATACACACGTTGAGGTACACGTGTACCTAACGTGTAATCAAATTACTAAAGTTTACTTAATAATTTTTTCAGATTGAAGAAAGCGATAAGAATAATTATTGTTCCCCATGTTTTAAATAAAACCTCAAACAATTTTCAACAATTTTTTTTAAAAAAAAAAAATAAAAATAACAATCCACATAAAAACATTTAATATCCACATATCTACATTATTTTATTTTATATACATATTAAGGAGGGGAGGTGATGTGATAGTTTAAATACTATTAAAAACATTACTTGTCTACTATATGAAATTTATTTATTTAATATAAGTTGTTCAAAAATAAAAATTGAATTTTAATAAAATAGCTTTAGATTATATTTAATACAGTAGTTCAAAATTTATTGTTGAATACATTTTTTTGTGCTTCATTAGTTTGCTTATTAAAATATCAACTTAATTGATTTAACAAAGTTTTACATTTTATCAATATAATTTATAGCAGTAAACATATTCTTATTTAAATATCTCAAGATCGGAGATTTAATACCTATTGTAAACATGCGCGTAAAAGGTTTTTTTTCTTATGAAAGACATGCAATCTTAGCCATGACATTGACTATGTGTGCAAATGCAGTCACCTATCCTTTCGTAATTCACTTTCTAAGTGCAACAATATATTTAGCACTAAATTTGACCTATTAAAAAAAATATTACAATGCAAATATAATATATAACATTTATATTTTCAATATTATGCATATGAGGCAAACAAGTCACAGTCTAGACATAGTGATTACATTTGAATTGTAATAATTTGCAAAGATAAGTGAACAAATGTAATACTTATAAAGTAAATTATAATAACTAGCATTGCCTCAATAAATCCACTTTCACTTTGTGCATCTTTCCGATAATCATCTTACATGCTAATAAAATGTTTTATTCATTTGAATGAAGAAAATATGACGTTTGTAGACAAAAATATATTTAATTTGTAGTCAATACACCGATCTTGAGATATAAATTGTTTGAATTTATATTTTTTAAATTTTTTATGGTCTATATATAATATTTACGTTATGTTTTATGGATGTATTATACATGTGTTTATATTATAATGCATATTTTATGTTTGTTGTTTAGTATAACAGTAAGTATGGTATTAAAATAAAACAGAATTTATACATCTTATACAGCATCAATCGATAAGAATATTTTTGGCCCGTTATGCAACAATCGTAAAACGTTATTAACTTTTTTTGTCGTCGAAGAAAATAAAGATCGAATTTAAATTGAATACACCAGTGCGATAATAATAACGAATTTTTAAATACGAAGTATATTATTTCAGCGAGAATGAACCACGAGTCATCAAAATAATAATTTAAAAGTCTTACCATTCAACTTAATGGCTTTATAAATACTTTGATGGTATAATTGAAATATATGGAACTTCAATAGTTATATAACATTAAATTTATTTTATGTTATTTCTCCTCAGACATAAAAGTATTTAACAAATGCATTAATAGTATTAAAATTACTATTATGTTTTACCTTAATAAATGTGTTTTTATTTCTTTTATTAAAAAGTAATCAAAATATTTAAATTTTAAATTGTTATCCTAAATTGTTCTTTAATCAAACCATTTCGAATATTATTTTTCGATTTATAGTTTATCGATTAACAATCATCAATCTGTGCAAAACAACCTACAACTTGGTTAGAAATTTCAACAAATATTAAATTAATGTCATTTTTAACGAGGAAGAAAATAATTCAATTTTTCCAAAATACATTAAAACTGTGTTTAAAAAGTTAAACAATTAAATTATTGGTGCTTATTTGTTAACCAACTTGTTTTGAGAGTATTGCAAATTTATTAACTAACGATGGTTAAATGTAGAAAATAACTTAAGATAAAAATATACACATGAGCGCGCTAACAGAAAACTATCTCTAGAAGACCAAAGTTCATTGGTTATTTTATACATGATTAAAATTCTGCTTCCTATAAAAATATTTACTATAATAATTTGTCTTTTTTTCCTAAAAAAATATTCACTGTTCCTAACCTGCGTAATTTTAAATAGAGTAATTGGTAGGGCCTCGCCACCTGGCCTTTACCAGCAAACGCCCTTGGAACAATTTATAAGAATTCAATGTATACAATTCACTTTTAAACGATTCATACTTGTTAATTAATATAGTACACTTCACGAAAAACCCTAGTACACATAAATAGTACGCACAGAGTTAGAGTTCCACTAAATGATTTTTATTATCTAAAATGTAATTATTAATAATGTCAGATAATTTATATGTTATATTTGAATAATTGATAATTAGCAAAACGATTATATTAAATATTTATATCTTTAAGAAGAAATTCTTAAATTTGATATTATTTTAGTTATCTATCACAAATAATCACCTATTTTTTTTGCGATTTATAAATTATTAATAAACTTCTGATTCGTCTTGCAATTTATTAGATAATTAATTCAAGTAATACATCGTAAATTATACAGTTTTAATAAATCATAATAACTAGTTGTTGATTTGTGCTTAAAAAATTTAAAAAATAATTGTTACAAATACTTTATACAGAATTGGATTTAATAACTAACATAGACAACATGGGTTAATAAATAATAAAATCTACTTCAGTATTTAAATAAAAAATAAAAAATACCCAAACACTGACGATTTATGACTAATATCTAAGGGACAGTAATTAAAATAGCGAAAATAATTCAATTTAATCAATGTTAAAGAACCCAAAAGAAATTCTTGATTGAAAATCAAATAATTAGTAATTTTAAATGTACACATGTCTAATATTTTAAAATTCAAAGTGATTTTCTTATAATATTTATTTAAGTTACATTTTTACTTTCTAATCAAAAAATTATTTCATTGTTTTATTAAAATTAAAAATGTATTTTCTTTTTCTTCATATGCTTATAACGGTCCGTTTAGCACCATCACCACTTATGCCTCTCTAATTCTGCGTTCATATCCAGCAACGGCTTGACTTTCTTTAGATCTCTTTTCACTGTATCGTACCATCTCTGCAGAGGTCTCTTAATTTTTTCCCCACTAAACTGTTTTCCGTGACTTTCTTAATAAATAAGCCCTCGTCTAACCAGATGTGTCCTACCCATTCCAACATTTTTCTGACAAGAACTGACGTGGACTCGGTTTATTGTACAACTATTACAGATTTTCATTGGTTCTTCTTTTGAATCTTTCCGAATTATTATTGTACACCGGTCCAAGTATTTTCCTTTATATGTTTCTCTTGCAGAACTATAGTTTTTCTTCATCCCTGCAGGTGCTATACCACGTCTCACATGCGTACGCCATTATGGATCACAAGTATATACAGTATAGTCTCTCCTTTGTACGTAAAAGCATTTTTTCATTGTGAAATAACATCTGTTTACTGCGTTACAACTCATCCTTTTTTTTTTCATTTATATACTTAAAGTCCCCTACCTGCTTGAAAGTAAACCCTTCGATCTGAAGATTATTTTTCACCGTCGTGTTTTTTTTATGAAATTCACGTACAGTTGACACGTCGATTTTAGAAAAGTCATAAAGTTATATATCTTCGGTTACTCAATTTTTTAAACAATGAAGAAAACAAAACATTAAATTAAACAAAAGAATTCTTTAAATAAGCAATTCTACATTGATAGTATTGCACTCAAAGAAATTACATTCAATAAGATGTTTAAAAAAATTACTACGTATTTAACAGAAATATTATTGAAAACATACACATTTTATTATCACATCTTTGTACATATAAAACGGTATATTTGTATTTATTTTGATGCATACCATAAGCATTTTAAATTAATTTATTAATTTAAATTTCATAATTTCATAGTTATATGAAGTTTAAATAATAATCGATGATGTATAATTACTAACTAATTACCAAGAAATGATATTTGAAAAAAATTATAACTGTTATATTTATAATATTATATAATTTAATTCAAATTCCTACATAAAAATACTTTTTTTTTGTGATTTGTTTTGTTATATATATATATCATAGTATAACATAATATTTACTAAATACACGTGTCTGTTATTAACTATTATATTTTCAAAAGGTGCTATGGAAAAAATATTATATTGTCTGTATTAATTCAAATATAAAAAAAACCATAAATTTAATAAAATACAATAAATAATATTTAATAATAAATATTTAATAAATAACAATAAACAAATTATAAATCGTAGTTTCTGTATAATAATAATCATTCGTTCATATAAAAAAAAGAATAGTTATAATAATATATTTAATATAGATTTTCATTAAAACAACTTATTTAATAAGATTTCATGTATTGCATGTACTATATATGTAATACCTATAAAATGTGTAGATAGTGTTAGATAGGGTCTTGAGATTTGATTTTGAAAATTGTATTCGTCCTATATACTCCAATGTCTAAAAGCATTAAAAACTCAGGTAGTTAAAATAATTTCATCCCACCATTTAGTACGCAAATCTTACTAGAAATCTTAATTATTAGTCGTTAACTATAAATTATAAATTATAAATTACTAAATAATCTGTTTTGCAGCCCAATTTTCATTATCCTTTCGTTAATCGATTGTCTCACATGTCTGTTCGGATATTTTTCCATCTACACTTTTTTGATAGGTACTCCACTTTTACTTAAATTATTACAATGCATAAGTGATTGTAAAAAATAATTATCTGCTTTTTGTAATCACTAAATTATTGTAAACATTTTAATTATTTAGCAATATATTATACTAACAAGAATATATATAATGCAGTTGTATTATTAAAATAAATCAGTACGATTTTAATTTTTTTCAAAATAAAATTATAATTTATTTATGTTTAAAAATGTAATATATACGTGTGTGTATACACACACACACTTACATATACACATACACACACACTACAAAATAATTTTAACATTAATCAGGTGAAATTGTTCAAATCGGTTACGAAAATTCAAATTAAATATTTGAATTTCTTATTTTATTTACGACAAGCTAAACATTTCCGTTACAGCTATAAAAATATTATTTTATTTTAGAAACACAAAATATATACAAAATTATCAGTTTGATCATATAGTGCGGTTTCTAAGATAATGTTAAACGTTTTAATTAAGTTCGATACGTATTATTACCTACTAATAAATGTTATAAATCTATAATTGCGTTAATAATTCTGTAAAATGTCGTGTATAATAATGTTCACGTTACCGCCGTATAAAGTAAGAGCAAAATATGGGAAAATAATTAGAATTATATTAGTAGACATATACCGACAAGGCAATATATGTATTATCATACGCGCAGTGCGCGTAGGATATTTTTTCGTAAAAACTTTAAACCGAGGAAAACGTTTTTCGAAAAGAAAAGATTTTTAGCAGTCATAAAGCCGTTCGTACGACTCAAAGTTGACTGGTAAAATCGAGAACTAGTGCAGTTAGCTGCAGTTCGAACAAGACAACGATGATGATACCTCGAGTAACGCGAAAAACAACGGTGTATTGTACACGATACGCGTATCGAAAGAGCTATCGGCAACAGCGGTATTATATAATATCAATAAGAATAACGATCGTGATGGAACCGGTGACGTTTTGCACTGGTGGGCAAAAGTGACGGACTTACCGGCAGGGGTACCGTTGAGCTGCAGAGCGTTGCCGAGGATCGGCAGTGACGGCGGCCCGGCGATGTTTCGGAACGCGGCGACGAAACGGAGCCGCCTGCGGACGATCAGGGCGATGAGCACGACAGCGATGCACAGCAGAGTCCACGTGCCTGCGGCCATTGCGGCGAACACGGGGCGGTATGCGACGGACGGTCAGGCTGCAGGCGGTCGAGGGTTGACAGTGATCGGAGTGTCGCGGAAACGTGTGCGGGTGGGCGCGAGCGGAAGAAAACGAAAAAAATCGTCGTAGTGCACTAACCACTCTCAGTCGTCTCGATCCGGGTGCGTCGCTGTGAGAACGATTGAACAGTGCGAGAGACGAGGATTCGGTCCTCGGTCGGTGCGCGATCGTGACAGACGGGAGGGGAGGGGGTGGGAAAGAGAAGAGGAAAAAAAAAACCGAAAAAAAAAAATTCAACGTGCTCACGCCACCGGTCGCTATATGACAATTGCCACCGATCTAGTGCGTACGCTTTGCACGGCGCACTCTTATATGCCGGCCCGGGCCATCCCCATTACGTTATTAGTTATTACACACGCACAGACGCGCGCACGCCGCGCACGACCCGACCAACCCCTACTACGCCACAGCAACCGGACTTGGACGCTATTAAGGCGCGCGGCGCTCCGGCCCGCTCATCCCGTCCGTCCGCCGTGCGTTACACACTCTCGCGTGGTGTCTCGTACACGCACACTGTTCTTTTCGTGGGCACAACGTATACGCGGGTGCGCGTGTGCGCGTGTGTACCTCGCGTACGTATTTATAAACGCTACGCGTTGTGTACATAGACCGTGCAGGCGCGCGTGCGTGCGCGCGCTTGTTGTTGTACAATGTGCCTGCACGTAGCGTATTCGTTCGGACGGGACGGACGGTCGTCGCCGCGA